TGCAAAAAGGTTCTTTGAGTATTATTGGTTCTATATAGAACTATTTTCTTTACTAAAGAACCCTTGAAGAACCATCTTTTTTTAAGCGTGTAGTTGAGAGGGTGTTCTAAACAGTACTGAAGGACGGTCGATGTTGTCATTGAAGATGTGCTTAACAAATCCACTGTTACAGTAAACTGCTTTGCAATGTTGCTAATTTTGTGAAGTTCAATGAAATCATGAGTTAAAACATGAAAGCACTGAATAAACTGTTCAGCCAGAGTGTGTTTTATTAAAGGACCCTCTTTGGAAGCAGCATAAATGTGCATAAACACAATTTTAGTTACTTTTACAGTTATTTTTCAAGCTGAGGAAACATGATTGAGGCAACATGGAGTTGAAACAGGGGAGGACAGAGTTTTTTCACTTATTACACTTACAGAAGATGATCAGGCAGAACCTGGAACGCGTCCCCTATATTCAATAAAAAATTGGTACAAAATCTGTAAAATGCTACTTAAAACAAATCCTGATATTTTATAAAGGTTCGCTCAATCAAAACAACTATTGCAAAAGTCATTGTTTTCCAATATATTTTATAAAAGTGACAGTTTCATTCACCGGCATGGCAGCGCAGTGGGTCACGCTGTCGTCTCACAGCAAGAAGGGCCTGGGTTCAGTTCCCCGGCCGGGCGACCAGGGTCCGGCCAATTGGACACACTAACTTGCTCCTAGGTGCGAGTGTGTGGATGTTTATGTCTGTCTGTCTGCCCTGTGATGGACTGGTGACCTGTCCAGGGTGTATCCTGCCTTCTGCCCAAAGACTGCTGGGATAGGCTCCAGCTCGCCCTATGACCCAGAAGGATAAGCGGCTTAGAAAATGGGTGTGTGTTTCATTCTCAGTGAATACGTGAGTCCACAATGCTTGTGTAGAGCCGTATTGTGCACAAAGTGGAAATGATCTTTGATAAGATTTTATCTTTTTCAAATCGTCTCAATTGTTGGTCTTCCTTTTCCTTTTTTCTCTAATCATCAGCAACAGCAAACAGGACACTGTGGGGGGGAAGCAGACCTTTACTGAAGAAAGTGAAATACAAGTGATGCAATGTTCTAAAAATATTAGACCTTTGAAAGAAGTGAATCACTTCAGAGCAGGATTTCAGCACACAATGGAGACGGAAGGAAGGAAGCAATGGAAGTTAATAATAATGGGGGAGGATTTTCATGGAAAACCCCTCATGCATAATTATCTATCTATTAGACACAGCTTTCTCAGAGCACCAGGTACGTGTTCAGTTAGTGATTATAACTCGTATTTTTCCATTCACAGTTTGTGTTAGTGACCTTGTAGTTCAGGGGTCGTCAACTGGTGAACTGCTGCCTGGACGCAAATATTCCAGTGGACCGAACTGAGCACTTGAAAAAACATCCTGTAGCAAAGCTGATTAAACGTGTAAAAACAAATCTAACATAGCTGAAAGCAGCTCAACTGAACAGAGACTACAGGGCTGGAGGTCAGGCATGTTGTCTGAGATTCTTTCTGAGAGTGGTGACCATAGCATGTTAAAAAAGGAAACTCAATGATAAAAGCAGTTTAAAAACATGAAAAAACAGAGAACTCTGTGTTTTTCTCCCCGTTCAGTCTGTAAAAAAAGCAGAAACATTAAGCTCCACTGTGAAACACATCACTTCAAATTAATCCACAGACTGGACTGACAAATGACATAAAAGCTCGACACGAAACACATACTCTTCTTTGTTTTATTATTATTATTATTATTATTATTATTATACTATGGTCAAAAATTCTTGCAGTGTTCAATAAATGGGGGAACATGCACACTCTGAAACATTCCATTTATATAATATATAATCCTAATAGCTCTGACTCTGAATAGCAACAGCCTAGCAACACCTTAGCAACCACCTGGGATAGCACAGCAACAGCCTAGCAACACCTTAGCAACCACCTAAGATAGCATAGCCACAGCCTAGCAACATCTTAGCAACCACCTGGGATAGCATAGCAACAGCCTAGCAACACCTTAGCAACCACTTGGGATAGCATAGCAGCAGCCTAACAACACTTTATCAACCACCTGCAACAGCGTAGCAACAGCCTAGCAACACCTTAGCAACCACATGGAACAGCGTAGCAATGGCCTGCAACACCTGAGCAACCACCTGGGATAGCATAGCAATGGCCTGTAATGCCTTAGCAACAACCTGGGATAGCATAGCAATGGCCTGCAATGCTTTAGCAACCACCTGGGAAAGTGTAGCAATGGCCTGCAACACCTTAGCAACCACCTGGGATAGCATAGCAATGGCCTGTAATGCCTTAGCAACAACCTGGGATAGCATAGCAATGGCCTGCAATGCCTTAGCAACCACCTGGGACAGTGTAGCAATGGCCTGCAACACCTTAGCAACCACCTGGGATAGCATAGCAATGGCCTGCAATGCCTTAGCAACCACCTGGGACAGTATAGCAACAGCCTAGCAACACTTTTGGAACAACCATTAAGCAACACTCTTAACAAAAAGACGGAACACCATGTCAACCTCATAGCAACACCATAGCAACTACCTGAAATTACTATATGAACCCAATTGAGTTATCAAAACAGTCAACGCTGTTGTGCCACTGCTTTACCTTTTTTACAGCATTATTAGCTGGCTTTGTCAACCCACCTTAAAGATTAACGCTGATAAACCTTTCCTTTCTAGTTTTCAATTAAATTTATTTTCAAGTTTTTAAGAGACTTTTGTTAAAGCCAGTCATGATAAATTATCACACACAGTTAACGCGCAGCGTCAGAGTGCAGCCTGAGTGCAGCATAAAACCCCAGAGGTTCCAAAGGAATTAATGAACTTGATTTAGTCCAGTTTAATATAAATTTGGGTTTAAGATTTTATCTTTTTTGATCTGAAATGTTGGCCCGCTTTTTCCTTTGAAACCCTTTTGGACATTTTCTGCATATAAAGAGTTACTGAAATATCAAGTATAACAAGTAGGACATTAGAGGGGAAAACATGTTTATTGAAATAAGAGAAATACACACAATACAGTGTTGCAAATATATCTATGTATTTTTTTTACAGTGATATGTACATATGTACAGAGCGCACGTATACACGTTGTACTGCGTTAAATAGTCTTCATGTGGTCAGTGTGGTCAGCTTCTGGGTTTTAGCTCCATCAGGTGTTTCTGAACCCAAGAGGCTTCAGGATCCACACACCATTGCTTTCCTTTATCCGTGCGAAAGCTGTGATGAAGACAAAGAAAGAATACCGTTATTGTTCATTACTGATTGTGAGTCAATTTCCATGGTTAATTTCCATAATATCAAGCAAATTCAGATGTAGGAAGAGATTTAATGGGCTTTCCTAAGCAGGTGATACTCACATAACAGCTTTAAAGGGACAGTTGCTGCTGGTCTCCCCGTAGGATTTAATACGCCTTAAGGGGATCTTCAGGTGTGTGAGTTTTTCGCAGCACTCACGGAAAGTTTCAGTGCCAAAAGTACCTGAGAGGAGCCAACACACAGAGTTTCAGACTCACAGCACAACAGATAGAGAATCCAGCACTTATAATAGACAATCATTAGGCTTAAGGTATGTCCAGAGATGAATGAACAGATGTTCACATCTTCAGTATGTGAGAGGAGTACAGAGTTTCAGTCTCACAGCACATTATATCGCAAAAAGACGACTCCAGCCATCTGATAAGCTAAAAGGGCCATGTCATAGAAACCTGAAATTTCATTGTTTTATGTAAAAGTGTAACATTGTTAAACTTTCAAAACTAATGAAGCTGCAGAAACAGCTTGTTTTGCATTAAATGATTTTGTGATGTCATGAAAAACACCTTGTCTACATACATCACAGGGCAGGCAATCAAAATGGAGCTCATTTACATATATCAGTTTTAAAGGTGCAGTAATAAAACATCAGGTTGATTCTAAAGGATGAAGAAAAGTTAAATAATGACCATGAACTAAAAATGAACTGTGACCGTGGTCTGTGCACACAAATTTCAAAAGTGGATCAAAAATATAGGCTATCAGCTCTTTAAAGCACGTTTAAAAGATATGTAAAGACATGTGCACAGGTCTAGTTCTCAGTGGTGACTATTGGAGTGAACAGAGTTTCTGATACTCACCACTGCAGACCTGCTGGAGAGAGCAGAGCAGCAGCACCATCAGCAGAGCAGACAGAGTCCTCATTCTAGCAGAAGAGATTTCACCCAGAGAGATGGAGCTGAGGAGAGGAGAGAGGAGTCCAGTGCTGGGTGAGTGACCAGTACCTCCTCATTTATACAGAGTGGGACAGGATCTTTGCATGGCTGAAATCCCCTACAGCTCTAACGTTTCACACGTTTCTCAGTAGCTCTGCAGCCATGATGTCTTTCCTGTTCACTCTAACACTAACATCACCTCCGTGTAGAGGAACAGCATCAGCTATTTTCAGACTTTGCAGAGAATCTGCCCCAAGAAACTGAAACTATGTTCTATTTTTATAAAGTAAGTTATCATGGGGTTTTCGAGAACTAGAGAGACATGCAGATAGACAGATAGATAGATAGATAGATAGATAGATAGATAGATAGATAGATAGATAGAGAGAAATTGAGCCCTCAAAGGTACAACAATGGTTTTAAGGCCTAACTTTGTACCATCAACATGTTTTTTTTATAAAAACCCCATTGTTTTGAATTAAATGTGTTCCAAAATTTGAAAATCAGTGTTGAACAGTAAGAATTGTCAATACTGAAACACATTTTCTGCAATCAAATAAACCTTTTTGTGTTTTAATGAAAAATAAGATGATTTTATGTGTGTGCAACCGCTCAAAGCTGTGTTTACTAGGCATGTATTGGCTAGCAATTTGGTACAGTTATGATTTTGAATGTTCAGTCCTAACCTCAGTCTATCTATCTATCTATCTATCTATAAGAAATATCAGAGACATCAGTATCAACACTGTTTTAAACTATTTATCATGTTTAACAGTGAGAGGGGCATCAAATGGTGAAAGAATACTTCTCATGTCAAATTTTTAAGATGATGAAATTTGATTTATTTTCTGTGAGTTCGGTCACTTTATTACAGCCAATCAAATTATCACGCTCTCCAACAAGCTCCGCCTTATTTTCCCTCAACCCTCCAATCACTGTGCAGCAACCGTTGCCATCCAGCATTGCTCACAACCTGTTTGTTGCTGGCACACCATGGTTTGAATGTGATTTCAATTGCGGGTGAAAGTTGGAACTGCGGGTGTTTAAAAGTGAACTTTTGCCCACGTAGGTTATAGCTGTGTCCTAACCTGTGCTCTGTTCACTATGTTATTCACTATTGTAGTGGTGTCCAAAAACATAGTGCAGATCTAGTGCACTCAAACAATCCCACAGCGAGCCGCAATGAGTAGCGTACATGAATTGTGCCTTAGTGGATAGGGGATACCCATAATGCACTAGTCTTGGTAGGTTTGAAGATTCAACCTATGCGGCTTCTCTGAGTAGGATGAGTGAGCACTACTGCAATGGCAGTGTCCATACAGAGCTCTCTGCAGACCTGTCACAGATGGAGGTGAGACCTTTGCAGGTCAATGGTTTAACTCAGCGGTTATAGTGGACTGGCAGAATCTGCTGTCGCACAGTAATGAGCCAACCTGTGTGTCGTAGTGTCAGAAATCATTTACTAACATCACAAATTCTGTCCCATAGATAATAGTGTTTTATATAGGGTTCAAGATTTTCAAACGTAGGGTCTAGTCACTAGGGGAACACTCTGAACACAGCACATGTCATGTTCTACCCATTTAAAGACAAAAAATAGTCAGTTTTTGTTGTCATCAGTTTTACTACAAAGGCCGTGATGAGCAAGCAAAGCAATCATCTCATGTACTTAAATGGATCAAAGGTAAGACACAAATGGTCCATAAACAAAGACTGGGTTTAGGTTTTTAAGTTTGCTGTGTTGTTTTTTTTACTCATCTTTGAACATCTCACCTGTCTGATTTTAACTTGAAGTTAGTTATGTTGTGTTCACTGGACAAACATGCCTGTTGCAAACAGACTCATGCTTTGTAGTCTTTATAGTAAAGTTTACAGTATAGTGCTTCAGTATAGTATAGTATACTTTATAGTATAGTGCTTCAGTGTCTGTTGTTTATGTGAATCCAGTTCTTTGGTTGATTACCAGAATATGATGATGTCACTATACAGGGTTGGAAGTGTTGGAATATATATGATGACGACTGCATGGTTATGAGTAATAGGATATTACTAATAGGATATGGAAACTGTAGCCCAGCACCGCTGCTTTATGAGTTCGCCATAAATTACATTTTGTGTCATTTGTTTAGTTTGTTTAAAGAACGTAGAACAAGAGTCGAATGCAAATACACAGCTACACAAGTCAAGTCAAGTCAAGTCAAGTCAAGTCAAGTCAGCTTTATTGTCAATACTACATCATGTACAGGACGAGTATTGAAATTGCGCTACTCTCAGACCCCATGGTGTAGCAATAACATTAAATAGACAGTAAACAGGAAATGTGTGAGTTAAATAGACACTAAATAAACACTAAATGCTAATCGTAAATAAATAAATAAATAAATAAACACTAACACAAACTGTAAACAGAGTGAATAAGTGAGTGAATTTTGAGGGGAAGGGTGGCATAGCCCTTCAGTATGACAAGTGACGTGTTTGTATTTGTGGGCTGGAGGTTAGGGAACCAGCCTTGTGACTGGAACGTTGCCGATAGGGCTGCCCACCGCTGCCCACCGCTCTGGGCAGGTCTGCTCACTGCCCCCTCATGTGTGTGATTTCACTAGTGTGTATGTAGTGTTTCACTGCATGGATGAGTTAAATGTGGAGGTGAATCCCCTGTTGTGGTACTAATAAAGGATAACTTACTTACTTATTATTTCCACAGTCTAATGTAGCTAAATATTGTGATGAGTCACCAAAACCACTCAGAGGAAACCCTTATTTTAACCTCTGTGACCTTCAAAGATTTACTTTTGTCTTGTGTAAAAAAAGAAGAAGCATTTTTAACCACACACACACACACACACACACACACACACACACACACACACACACTCACTGCGCACACACGCACACTCTGTTACTGTTTATCTGCTAAATTTATCAAGTTCGGGGAAAAATGTACAGAAAAGTCACGTGGATTTCTGAATATTTGTAAACTTTGTTAAGTATTTCATCACGTTAAAAAAATATTTGATCACATTCGAAAACTTCACATGTGAAAAAAGCAAGTGATCACTTGTAAACATTGTTTTTTGCACACTTCACATGTGAAATATATGTGACTTATCTGTTAACTGTTATCAGTTTTTTTCCCCAACAAATAAATAGAAATTGTTCACTCCGATGATCAGAAATTTGTCATATTTAAGTGTGTCCTCAGTGGAGGGTGTGTAAACGTATTTTCATTTCAATAAAACATCAACACATTACACATTAAACCGCAATAAGATTCATTAACCTTACATCAGCAAACACATAACAGATGGAGTGGTTTACTACATAAAGGTCAGTCTGAACATAGTGGACGAAATGGATGTTGTGTTAAATAGTAATGATTTCTGGACAAGTTCTGCTCCTGAAGTCTATAATTCTGTAGACTGGATCCCTCACTGCTCCGAGAAGTCATACGAGCTAATACAGAGAGATAGCAGCCCTTAAGATGGCATTGAGGAGTCCCTTAACGGGACATAGTGAGGGCTGGTTGACGAGGGTGTTCTAAACAATACTAAAGGAGAGTTGATGTTGGGTAGCGCTTTATTTGGAGTGGTCCTTTGTAGATGATTAATAAACTCTTAACAGATTATCAGTAACACATAAACAACGTATCAGTGAAGTAGCTGTAGTGAAGCATCTGAATACACTGAAGTAAATATCTTGTAGATGTACTGCTGATACACTACTTACACATAAATGTATTATTGATATGTTGCATGAAGTAGACTTAATATGTTACTTCCATTATGCAAAACCTAACCCTAATCCTAACCCCACAAATGATGCAATGTTGTAAATATATTAGATGTTTAAAAGAAGTGAAACACTTCAGAGCAGGACACAGTGGAGACAGAAGGAAGGAAGGAAGGAAGCAATGGAAGGTAGTAACAATATGTGAAAATTTTCATGAAAACCCCTCATGTGTATTTATCTATTAGACACAGTTTTCTCAGAGCACCTTGTAGGTGTTTAGTTAATGATTATAACTCATATTTTGCAGTTACAGTTTGTGTTAGTGACCCTCTAGCCCAAGGGTCATCAACTAGTGAACCGCAGTCTGGATGGAGACCCAGCAAAGTGTTGAAGTGGACTGAAATGAGCGCTTGAAAAAAACATCCTGTAGCAAAGCTGATTAAACATGTGTGAAAACAGATCTAATGCTTGGATGTGCTCAACTGAAGGCAGCTCAACTGAACAGAGACTACCGGGCTGGAGATCAGACACATTTTCTGAGATGCTTCATTTTATTTATTAGTTTCTGGTCTGAGTGGTGAGCATAGCGTGTTAAAAAAGAAAAATCAATGACAAAAGCAGTTTAAAAAATGAATAAACAGTGAACTCTGTGTTTTCTCCCTGTTTGAATTAGAAAAATTCTTGTGTCTTATCTGCTCAGAGTCTGTGGCGCTCATCAAAAGCAGCAGTGGTGGACGAAGTACACAAACCATGTACTTGAGTTAAAGAAGAGACACCCAAGGTAAAATATTACTCCAGTAAAAGTAGAAGTTCCTCCCTTTAGACCTCCACTTGAGTAAAAGTACAAAAGTATTTGCCTTCAAATGTACTTAAGTATCAAAAGTAAGAGTACTACATACTAGAGTACTACGTACTATCATTTTTGTAACCAGACTCTGCTTCATTAAGTCATTTTAGGTGAAAATACTCCAGTGTCACTCTTGGTAAACCAGTCTTTTAATAGAGTCATTAATTAGTGACGCTGATGTCTATTAAAATTATCATAAACACAAAACACTGAAGGCAAACAGTTTCCATCAGGTAGAACTGAGTGGCTCTGAAATCACTTTTTACAAACAAGCAAAGTTTCAGTTTAAGATTTATTTGCAACTTAGTTACAAGTTTAAGTTTAATAAAAACTTTAAACTCAGATTCACAAATGAGTTTCCTTTACTAAACTGCATCTGTAGGTCTCTGTTCATAAACATAAACTAGCAAAAACAGTTTTACTATAAAATGAATGTGTTTGTATAAATTCAGAAAAAGACCCGTCAGTCACAACTGCATATGAGTACATATTTCTATATTGTGGTCTGTTTACACAAAGTTAGGTTAGTTCATCATTTATGTTGAATAGACTCTCCCAAATTTTACACTGCTGCACTGACGCTGAACCGTGTACTGCACTGGGTCGGTATGACCAACAGGTCAAAACAAGCTCAAAACAAAGTGACCTCTGTGCCCTGATTGGTGTTCTCGCTTTGCGTTTCTTTCATTTTGACATGTTACATTTTTCTACACACATAAGACAAAAGGAAGGACAGATTTCTCATAATGTAGTGGAGTAAAAAGTGAGATATTTGACTTTGAAATGTAGTGGAGTGAAAGTAAAAAGTCGCCCAAAATGGAAATACTTCAGTAAAGTACAGATACACTAAATCACTAACCCTAGACAAAATTCAGCACTGACAAATAGCATGAAAAGCTCAACATGAAACATCTACTGTTCTTTGTTTTCTTTTCTTGCTATTGTTCTATGGTCAAAAATTTGCATCACTACTCCTCCTACAGCTTTCAAGCCTGAATCAAAAAACTTTACAGTCTATAGCTGAATTGGTTGCTTGTGCTTTTTAAACTGATTTTTCCATAAGAATGAATGTGAGGAATGTGCAACATCCTGAAACTGAGCCGTTCCCCTTATATAATATACAGTACTAATAGCTTTACCTCTTATTCCACTACAGTCAGCCTAAATCCTCTTATGTCACCATTCTACAACTATGCCAGCAACACCTTAGCAACCACCTGGGATAGCATAGCAACAGCCTAGCAACAGTTTTGGAACCACATAACAACCACTAAGCAACGCCCTAGCAACAAGATGGAACACAGTGTCAACTTTGTAGCAACAGCATAGCAACTACCTAGAATTAATGTTTGAACCATGCTGTGCCCCTGCTTTAACTTTTTAAATAGTATTATTATCTGCCTTTGTCAAGCCACCTTAAACTTTAAAGTTCATAAATTTTCCCTTTCTAGTTTTGCTTGAATTTATTTTTATGTTTTTAAGAGACTTTAAGTATTAAAAATGAATGATTTTTGTTTTTTAAGCCAGTTGCCAAATAATGTTCTTGGACCATCCACACTTCTAGAGTAACACTGTTATGCAAGAGAAAATAAAGAAAGAAAACTGCGCATTTGTGGAAATACAGTCACTCTCAAAGAAAAACATCCCTAGTGAAGAGAATGGGAGTGTATATGACTATGATCATGTAGCTGATGTAGATCAGGGCCTTTATGTTGAAAATATATTAGATTTTTTTTCACAGTGATATGTACAGTGTGTGTGTGTGTATATATATATATATATATATATAGAGAGAGAGAGAGAGAGAGAGAGAGAGAGACTCTGTACTGTATGAAATACGCTTCATGTGGTCAGTGTGGTCAGCTTCAGGAGTTTAGCTTCATTATGCTGTCCTTAACCCAAGAGGCTTTAGGATCCGCACACCATTCCTTACCAGCCACTGTGTAAAAGCTGTGATGGAGACAAAAAAACAGAATACTGTTACTGTTCATTACTGATTTTGAGTCAGTTTCCATAGTTAATTCCCAAAATGTCAAGCAAATTTATAGGTAGGGAGATATTTGATGGTCTTTCAGAGTAAATGATACTCACATAACAGCTTCTTTAGGGCAGTTGCTGTTGTTCTTGCTGAAGGATATAATAAACCTCAAGGGGATCCTTACTTTTATAAACCTAGAGCAGCATTTTTGTGGGATGTTGGTGCCTCGTTCAGTACCTGAGAGGAGTGCAGAGTTTCAGTCTCACAGCACAACACAACAGAAAGAGACTCCAGCAGTGTGTTAGTCGTAAAGGGCCGATATCATAGCAAACTTAAATGTCATAGTTTTTATGTAAAAAGTAGTGTGTGAACGTTGTTCAAGTTTCAAAACATAATAAAGCTGATTTTGTGATGTCATGAAAAACACCATATTTACAGACATCTACATACTGAGCCTGCAGTAGTTTAGCTAATAGTAGTTATGAATGATGTGGAAAACAGGGCAGCCAAACAAAAAAAAAGCTCATTTACATATATCAATCTTAAAGATGCAGTAAAAAATATTTAATTCTAAAGGATAAAGAGAGGTTGGAAAATCTTCATGTAAAAATGAATTACAAATATCAAAAGCAGTGCAGAAATGTAGTCTGTGGGTCCTTTAATACATGTGAAAAAGATATGTAAACAAATATATACTGTCTAGTTTTCAGTGGTGACTATTAGAGTCAGACAGAAGTGAAGAGAGTTTCTGATACTCACCACTGCAGACCTGCTGGAGAGAGCAGAGCAGCAGCACCATCAGCAGAGCAGACAGAGTCCTCATTCTAGCAGAAGAGACTTCACCCAGAGAGACAGAGCTGAGGAGAGGAGAGAGGAGTCCAGTGCTGGATGACTGACCACCGCCCTCTTATTTATACAGAGAAGAAGCAGGATCACTGCATGGCCAGGAGCCAGGTCCTGTACTCAGGATGTTTTTGCCATCGCAAGTTGATAATGAACAACCCCAACTCAAGGCTGTTTGCTCTGGAGGGGGCCGAATCCCCCTTTTTGGGACACTGTTCTGGAGAAATAATGTAAATTCAAATATTGAGGACATATAATGTAATAATTAGTCATAGACACACAAAAAGTGCCTCTTTGATCTCAGCAAGCTCCCCCAGAACTCCTGCCCAAGCTTCTCAGGGCTCCTTCCTCTGTCCTCGGCTCGGTTTCAGGTGTGAACCAAACTCGCAAGGTAAAAATAAGTTAACACATTCTCTCATAGACACGTAAACACACATCCTCACATTTTAATGCACAATTTCTGTTTATTTCCTGAACATATTGGAACAGATTGTGAAAATATGCATATTTTTGTATATATCTAGCATACCGTGCATGATAAAACATATAGTATATAGCGCATAGAGCAATTTAACTGAAGGGGAAGAGGCAACATGGCATGACAATCAGCCAGACAGTAAGCAGGCAAACACACCAACAGAGATTCTAATATGCACAAATCTGACTTTTGAGAAATCATAGTTTTATGAGTATTATACTCACTTATGTACTATATAGTGGAACTGTATTAATACGTGTATGCCAAATTTGGGCACCAAAGTGAGCACACAGTTACTTCACATTTAATGAGCTTAAAAATAGTAATTGTGGCATGTGCAAAAGTTTGAACACCTTTCTAAAAAAGTTTTAAATTGACTTGTTAGGGCTTGAAGATGTACTCCACTGTTTGTGGGGTGTAATGATATTCTGTTAGATTTAAGTACTGGTTAAAAAAAACAACGCTCCTAGAGATACTAAACTTCATGCAGTTATTAGTAATTTTGATCTGCATTTGACCATTTCTGCTGTAAAGTATTTTTTCTGAGCTTACATTTCACTGTAATCGGAGTCCTTTAATTCCCCAGAGTTTAGTGGATGTCCTACAGAGTATTACTCTGGCACCACCCTATCACAATAACAGGTAAAAGCCTGTCTCAATAACAGGTAAAAGCCTGTTATTAGTGCTGAATTCCTTTTTTATAAAAGGTAAACAAATAAAGGACTACCAGCTGAACACCACAGCTTGCTTAATACTATTTGAAACTGGACCATATTCTGGACCAGGATCAATGATACCGAGTAACAGGCTTCACATTAAGACCTTATCAGAGGTCTCACAAGCTTCATATGCTTGTGTTTAAGCTAGAAATGGCATCAAATATGATTACATATTTGAAACGTAAATTCAAAAAGGTTGGCCCCACATCTCCACTCCATGGATCTTAACCCCTCACAAGACAACCCATAGCTAATCACAATGAATCACAAACATTGAATACACACTTCTTAAACCAAGGAAGAGCATAAAAAAGAACAATAAATAGTCCCTTTTTAACAAGGCTGCACGCCTTCCATGAGCCTTCTCAACAGCCCTCTCCATGACCTCGCTTGAAAGGCAGCACATCCTGAGGCAGGTGCCACAATATGGATTTGACAGTGTTGCCTATTGGCTGTGCTACTTTGCATGTAAAGATTTAGAGAATGTTCACAGTGGTCAGTGCAAGTGACAGTAATTAAATTCAACAGAAAAGCTTTGGTATCAGTTTTGAGCACAAAGGCTTACAGACTGCATCACTGTACCAGCTGAGGACAACTGTACTTATATGGTATGAAGTTCTGAACATCTGAAATTTGTGTAAATGCAAAAAAACAAAAAAAAAACAAAAACAAATGTGTATAATACTGTTAAAGCTAGACAAGTGATGTGGATGTTTCAAACAGTGTTTTGAAAACACTGGGTTTTATTTGAGGACTCTGCCAAAGTATCTGAGAAAATTAAACTTTAAAAATGTAAAAAATTCACAACAACGCAGCTTATGAACACCGAAGAGTTTAGTTTCAGCCCTAATATAACACATCTGTTCCAGCTGATAAAGGCTTTCAGGAACATCTGAGTACTATAGCCAGTTGTGTTGGAACTAAACCCTCCAGAGTGATCAATGTCAGAGTGAGGCCGTCCACACCTGATGTAAATGTTCAACCTTCATGGTTTGGGTAGATCCTAAGAAGTTGTTTTGTCATCACTTCAGCAAGGAATCATGACAGGCATCTATGAAGATTATTTGGAGTAGCTCTTCCATCATATCATCATACCATTTAAGCAAGGAAAGCACAAAAATTGATGTAACTGGACCTTCAAAGTTTTTGTTCAATATTCCTGCTGTAGTCATTCATCAGTGGCACATTTTTTACCTCGGCTGAATTAAAAACTATGTGATAGACCATCTCTGGAAACCCTTGGCAGATTTTCCCACACTTCAGAGTGACACCTAAAAAAGTTCAGAATTTAAGTTTAAGGTAAACTTTTTCAATCTGTTTAAAAGTTTCCTTCCTTTTTCTCTGAAACACGTTTGGACATTTTCTGTATATGGGTCATTGGCATACAAAAAGGTAATCTTGTTAGATAAAATTCTAAAGAAAATAGTATGGCCTGATTTTATGTTTGAAAAATGTTAAAATAAAAACCATTTTTAAGTCCCCCTTACTAAAAAGCTTTTGTATGCTGCTTCTTACTTTCTCAAATGTCAGGCAGCATGACCAGAAACAAAAGACCTTTATTTTGACATGCTTTTACAAAAGAGGGGCCAGGGAATTGCCTCTGAATGAACTTCATGGTGCAAAGCCAAGGTCAGTAGCCCTTACAAAAGTTTTGTAAAAAGTGTGATTTTTGAGTCATGGTTAGAACAGTTTACCATGTCAGGTGGTCTGGCCTCAGTAGAACCATAAAAATGTGGAATTATTATAATAATGTTTATTTACTTGAAAAAAGTATAAACTCAAGTTCAAGGGCAAAGGTTTCTAAGGATGTCTAAGTAGATGCCTGTTTAATTTGTCTGAAAAGTCAGGTGCCGCAACTAAAGTCAATTAGTACATCCAGACCAGCACAGTTTAATAACTAATATAGGCAGTTAAAAGCTTCGAAAACAGTCATTTTTAAAAACCTTATTTGTAGTTGACCCATATAAGCAGTTACAAAAACATCAAATACGACAAGCAGGACTTTGAGGCGGGAAACGTTTATTAAAGAAAAAGAGAAATACACTACACAATACCGCAAATATATTAGATGTTTTCACAGTGATATGTACATATCTACAGAGTAGATGTGTATATATAGACAAACGACAGTATTAAATAGTCTTCATGTAGTCAGGAACCCAGGGTTTTAGCTTTGTCATGTGTTGCTTAACCCAAGAGACTTTAGGATCCACACACCACTCCCTTCTAATAACCGTGTGAAAGCTGTGATGAAGACAAAGACAGAATGACTATTATTATTATTATTAATATTATTCTTTACTGATTTTGAGTTGGTCAGTTTTAGTTGGTCAGTGTTAGTTCCCAAAATACTAAGCAAATTTATAGGTAGGGAGATATTTGGTGGTCTTTCAGAGTAAGTGATACTCACATAACAGCTTTTTTAGGGCAGTTGCTGCTGGTCCAGCTGTAGGATGTGATGCGTCTTAATGGGATCTTCACTTTCATAAACTTGAAACAGCACTTTTCTGGGATGCTGCTGATGCCTTCAGTACCTGAGAGGAGGACAGAGTTTCAGCCTCACAGCATTTTGTTAGGCTTAAAGGGCCCATATCATAGCAAACTGAAATTTCATTGGTTAAAAAAAACAAAAGAGTAGCATGTGAACATTGTTAAAGATTCAAAGTGTAGTGAAGCTTCTTTTGTATTTATTGATTATATAATGTAATTAAAAACACCTTAAATACATCCTCGTACTACTGCCTACAGCAGTTTAGCCCCATTCACTCACACTGAAGTTATAAATGAGGCACAACACAGGGCAGCCAATCAAAATGGAGCTCATTTACATTTACATTTGTTTCTTTCTCAGGGATAAAGAGAGGTTGGAAAATGGTCATGTAAAAATAAACTGTGACTGTTTTTGTCGCATTAATATCAAAATGTAGACATTCATACAAATATATCCACTGTCTAGTTCTCAGTGGCGACTATTGGAGTCAGACAGAACTGGACAGAGTGTCTGATACTCACCACTGCAGACCTGCTGGAGAGAGCAGAGCAGCAGCACCATCAGCAGAGCAGACAGAGTCCTCATTCTAGCAGAAGAGATTTCACCCAGAGAGATGGAGCTGAGGAGAGGAGAGAGGAGTCCAGTGCTGGATGAGTGACCAGCACTCTGTCATTTATACAGGGTAGAATCAGGATCCCCGCATGGCTGAAATCCCCTACAGCTCTAACATTTAGCACATTTCTCAGTAGATCTGCAGCCATAACATCTTTCCTCTTCTCTCTAATACTAATATCACTTCTGTGTGGATAAACAGTGTCAGCTGTTTTCAGACTTTGCAGGGAATCTGCCCCAAGAAACTGAAACTATGTTCTATTTTTATAAAGTAAGTTATCATGGGGTTTCCAAAAATTAGACAGACAGGCAGATAGAGAAACATAGATAGATAGATAGATAGATAGATAGATAGATTCTGACTACAGAGATACACATTTTTCTGTAATTAAGTAAACCTTTTTTGTGTTTTAATGAAAAATATTACGATCTTAAGTACAACTTATAAAATAGAATGGTTAACCATTTATTTTAATTTATATCATAGGTGTACACACCCACCGAGCAATTTATTAGGAATACCTCCTTGTATCTACAATCATCGTCCATCTTATCAGCTCCACTGACCATTTAGGACCACTTTGTAGTTCTACAGTTACAGACTGTAGTCCATCTGTTTCTCTGTATACTTTGATACCCTGTTTTTCAGTGGTCAGGACCCCCACAGGACCCCCATAGAGCAGGTACTATTTGGGTGGTGGATCATTCTTAGCACTGCAGTGACACTGACGTGGTGGTGGTGTGTTAGTGTGTGTTGCGCAGGCATGAGGGGTTTAGCCTGAGTTTTTATATGGAGCTATATTATGAATATATTATAGCTTATTACATTATTATATGTTATTATACATTATTATATATCCATTTCATTAATATAATATAGGAGTGACTTAACAACTTATTAGTCAAACACACTTGTAAAATTTGCTGAAAAACCTTCTGGGTGAATCTGGAGAAACGTCTATCCAATTGCTGTGAAAATTCACAGATAATGTTGGAAACATGAGAAAAATGTTATTTTCACTTATGAAATCAACAAAACATGTAATTTAATCAGAGGCCCTTAAATGTTTCCATACGACTGCCTGTCTGTCTATCTATCTATCTATCTATCTATCTATCTATCTATCTATCTATCTATCTATCAGTTTTACTTGAAAGACTGTAACGGGCTTTGAAATGTGAAAATGTAAAAACAAACTTGTAGCTAACTGTAACGTCAAAACCACAGTGTGAAGAAAGCAAGCAAAGTTTATTTATACAGCATTTTTTATAACAGGTGTTGTCACAAAGCAGCTTTACAGAAAAGTCCGGGTCCGAGCCCCCATGAGGAAAGGAAAAATGCCCTAAGAGCAGAAGGAAGAAACCTTGAGGGGAACCAAGACTCAGAAGGGGAACCCATCCTCCTCTGGTTGACACCGGATAGCAAACAGTGTTAGTATAAAGTATTATAGTACGAAATGGAAAAAACCGGTGGAGCAAAGGTTAATTAGATAGTTTGAGTTTATGCAGCAGCAGCATCATCAGGAGGGTCAGTTCATGAAGGTGAGGATTACACAGTGTTGTACAGCATGAAGTTCAATGGTGGTCAAACCGGTCCAGCAGTGGCACCTGATCAAGGCAGAAGAGGCAGCAGCATCAGACACACAGGATGGGCAGCTGTTCAACTCGGCAAAGAAAGGAAACACACAGAGAGTCAGTTCTGTACACAGTGGCTGATCACAGATTACAGTGTTAACAGAGAGCAGCAGAGACTCTGGCAGGTCCAGTTATTACAGCCCTTTACTGAAAGGGAGAAACCAGAAGGTAACAGAGACATGAGGGCTCCCTAAGATGTCGGCCCCCCTCCGCTCCACCGTCAGTGAACGTGAGTGAACGCGTGAGCAGTGAGACAACAGCACCAGTTTACCATAATACTCTATGACCATGAACCCCCAGATCTGCACCTTTTATCTGACAGGGAAAAACAGATGTGAACAGATCCATGATTTCTGTGTACGGTTACACCCCTACATACAACACAAACACACTTATTAAACCAAGAAACAACACAAACAAGAACAATAAAGGGTTTTTTTTAATGGGGCCGCATGCTTCCCTTGATCCTTTTCAATGGCCCTCTGCCTGGCCCCGCCTGAGAGGCAGTGTGCACCGAGGCGGGAGCCACAATATGTATTTGACTGTTTTGCCAATTGGTTGAAGTATTCTCATATTCATCTCATATTAACATCAAGCAACTTCTCATATTACTTCAATGAAACAAAGGTAAGACATGAATGGATCATGAACGTGTTTATGCCAGCCTTGGCTGTGTGCCTTCAGCCTCAAAGAAGGTTTAGGTTTTTAAGTTGTTGTGTTGTTTTTCCTCGTCTCTAAACATCTCACCTGTCTGATTTTAACTTGAAGTTAGCCAGGTCATGTTCACTGGACAATCATGCCTGTGGTGAGCAGACTCTTGCTTTGTAGTCTTTATAGTAAAGTGTGCTTCAGTGTTTGTCATGTTTATGTGAATCCACTTCTCTGGTTGATTGACAGAATATGATGTTATCATGGGGGGGTTGGAAGTGTTGGAATACGTAAGATGATGACTGCATGGCTATCGATAATAGGCTATAGCCTGATTAATGACACTCATTTGTTTAATTAAAAAAAATGAACTACACTAATTGAAAAAAGTGAATAAATGAGTGAATTTTGAGGAGAAGGGTGGCGTTGCCCTTCACTATGACAAGCATCACATGCTTGTATTTCCACAGTCTAATGTAGCTAAATACTGTGATGAGTCATCAAAACCACTTAAAGGAAACCCTTATTTTAACCTCTGTGACCTTTGCTTTTATCTAAAAGAAGAAGCATTTTAACCACACTTACACACAAACACACACACACACGCACACACACACACACGCACACACACACACACACACACACACACACACACACACACTCAAAATCATTGCAGAAAAGTCACATGAATTTCACATGAAAAGTGATTTTTTTTGTTTTTTACACACTTCACATATGAAATAATTATGGAAGGTAAACAAAACATAAAATGTGTTATGGCACATTTTATATTGAATGTTTTCCCCTATCAAATAAATATTAATACCAATATTAACATTTTTCACTTAGAAAATCAACAAAACGTTATTGACTGTGTATGTTCACAGGGCTTTGCTTTTTATATTACATATCAAACCTCAATAAAGTACACTAACCAAAGTAACAAACTTACATCAACAAACACATCACAGATGGAGGGGTTTACTACATAAAGGCCAGTCTGAACGTAGTGGACGAAATGGAAACTGCCAGCATAGCGAAACTGTTGGCGTGTCTGCTTTCAAGCAGCTTTGTAAATCAGTGTTTGAGTTTGAATAGAAAGATCAGACAAAATTACTGTTTGTTTACATGTGAAAACAGCAATTCTCAGGCAGCTTTGATAACTTGCTGTGTGTTTTTGTTTTTCTGGGTTAAAGATTTAGCTCAGCCAGTTAATGAGAAGGCCAGTGGCCCCTATTAGTCTTCAGTCTTCAGTCTTTAGTTTGGATTTTGTATTTTGAATTAGAATATTTTTGCGATGTTTTACTGCAGATTAGAGCCTCAGTTGTCTGCTGGTTTAGCTCTGGCTGTAGCATTCGCCTAGCTTTAGATATTTATTGTCACGCATCCCTCAGGCTCAGAGGTCCCTAGGGACTCCATTTCCCAGAATTCCCAGGGGGATCACTTGATTCTCAGCCCTCTGAATAGTTTAGTTTAGTATAAAGCCCAGGCTTTTAGTCTAGATCATTGTGAGGTATTGCTTCTCGTTTCAGAGCTACTGAGCGGTTTTTCTTCTGACTATTGTGATTTTTCTGGTTTTGACTCTGTTTGCTGTTTTGACTTTTGCCATTTTTGCCTTTACCCTTTGGACCTTGTCTTTTTGTGTCTCTTGCCTTTGCTGGATTGGACCTTTGCCTATTTTTTGACCACAGTTTTGGATTACGACTCAAACATTAAAGTCTCTCTCTCTCTTTTTAACCACGAGCGTCTGATTTATTCTGCCTCGTTACATTTATCTGCTTTCCAACATATCACTTCCTTTCGCTCGCAAACAGTCGGCTGATACATTCGTTATGTGTTTAAAGGCTTAGGAATGTAGTCAGGGCTTTGAATGACTACATCACTATGGTGATGTGGAGGGAGTTTGGTGGGGTTTTTCATATGAAGGGCCTGATTCAGTGAGTAAGTCTAAAGTTTGTCATAGAGATCTGATTCAGTTAAATGACACCTATTTCATAGGGTCTTTCACATGGAAGACCTGATTCGGTCATTTGACGTTGTGTTTTTTTATTTGTTTTGTTGTTGTGAACTTGTGCTCCTTATTTGCTCTTCAGGGAGATCAGTTTTATTTAGTGTTCCTCAGTCGTGCGGTAACACGGTTTATTAGGATGGTCCACTGCAGATGCTCAGTCTATCTTTAACTAACATTCAAATAAATGTCTGTTAAATAAAACTGAACTTGAAGTTCATTCAGTTAAATCTATCTCTAATCCTAAACCTGAACCTAACCCTAACCTCAACCTCAAGGCAAAACCTACACCTACTCCTACATTACCCTGCCAAGATGTTGTTGATAATCAACCAGAGTATCACCGGAAAGTTTGTTAATGATTTAAGTATCTGTAGATCATCTATAGGGGACCATCCAAGTAAAGTGTGACCAGCTGGTTTGTTCAGCATTAGTGACCAGCAGAGTTAGTGTCCATCTGTGTTTTTGTTTCTTTTATTTTTAGGTCAGTCTGATTTGTAATCATCAGTCATTGTGTTTATTATGTTGGTTTATGCTCGTCTCCAGTGCCATCATCCCAACTAGTGACTGAGCATTTGAAAAAAAAACCTGCAGTTTTCTGGTTTAAATGATGTCCAGTGTTAGGTCTGGCAGCAGGTGTGGGAAGTGGGAAGTCCACTCTCTGTCTCTGTTACGGCCTGACCCTAGACCGGGTCATAACAGTTAGTACATAATGGAGACAGAAGGAAGGAATGGAAGGTAATAACAATGTTGGAAAATTTTGTGTGTATTTATCTATTAGACACAGTTTTCTCAGAGCACCATGTACATATTGAGTCAGTGATTATAACTCATACCTTCCATTCACAGTTTGTGTTAGTGACCCTGCAGCTCACGAATCATCAACTGGTGAACTGCAGTCTAGATGGAGACCCAGCAAAGTGTTCCAGTGGACTAAACTGAGCACTTCAAAAAAATCATTGGGCGGAAGGCAGGAAACACCCTGGACAGGTCGCCAGTCCATCGCAGGGCAGACAGACAGACACAAACATTCACTTACACACTCACACCTAGGGGTAATTTAGCATGTCCAATTGGCCTGACCGCATGTTTTTGGTCTGTGGGTGGGAACTCACACAGACTTGGGGAGAACATGCAAACTCCACACAGAAAGGACCATGGTCGCCTGGCTGGACAGGCTCCCGCTCCCCTCCGCCACCCAAGGGATAAGCAGTTTGTGTGTGTGTGTGTGTGTGTGCGTGTGTGTGTGCGTGTGTGTGTGTGTGTGTGGAGATCAGACATATTTTCTGAGATTTTTTAACTTCATTCAGAATTTTCTGGTCTGAGTAGTGAGCATGGCATGTTGCAAAGGAAAGCCAATGACTAAAGCAGTTTAACCTCTTGTTCTCCAGGGTATATTTTGGTTTGTCCATCTGAATTTACATGACCGAATTGTAAGGCAAATTATTCAGTAACTGTATCAAATAAATGTAAATTTTTATTTTTAATGATTTATTTCTTTTTTGTAAAAGTTCCCCTCAAATTAACAGAAAGTGTGTTTTATGATCACACATATTGCTATATGCTTAAAATTTACTGCTGAAAGCCAAAAAGTCTTAGACGCTCTTTGTATTATTTTATAAAAATAATGTTTACAGAGCAGATCACTGAAGAGACGCCATCTGTTTATAGTTTATAGCCCAGATTTGTGGAAAAATGGGGCGACTTTCAGTAGACAAAAAAGTGGGAGTTCAGCTTCTTTTATTATAAGGGTTTAAAATGACATCACCCATCTATTCGACTGGAAAGAAGACAGTTACAGCTCTCATATCACACCCACCTTTTGAACATAGCTTATGAAATATGAAAGTTATGAAGAATATGACGAAGTGTGTTTTGGAACCACCAGTGGTTTCATGGAGTTAAAGAGGCTACAAAATGAATAAACAGAGAACTCAATAATAAACCGTGTATTTTTCTCCACATTTCAAGTTCAAAACTGATGTGTCTCATCTATTATCAAAAAGCCATTTACCAAATATTTTTAAAAGCCCATTCCATAATGTATAAGTAACTTAAGTATTTACTCATGTTAGTTTATTCATGCAGACTTTTTAGCAAGGAAATTAATATAACTGGACCTTCGCAAGTTTTAGTTGAATACACCTGATGTAGCCCTTCACCAATGGCACAGTAACTAAAACATAAAATAACAATTAGAAAATTTGAGGAGAAAGTTTGTTTATTGAAGAAAAAGAAATACACATCATACAATGTTTGAAATATACTGGATTTTTACACACTCTCTACTGTATTAAATAGTCTTCATGTGGTCAGTGTGGTCAGCTTCAGGAGTTTAGCTTCATTATGCTGTCCTTAACCCAAGAGGCTTTAGGATCCGCACACCATTCCTTACCAGCCACTGTGTAAAAGCTGTGATGGAGACAAAAACAGAATACTGTTATTGTTCATTACTGATTTTGAGTCAGTTCATTTCAGAGGTGGGAGACATGTGGTGGTCTTCCCAAGTAAGTGATACTCACATAACAGCTTCTTTAGGGCAGTTGCTGTTGGTCTTGCTGAAGGATATAATAAACCTCAAGGGGATCCTTACTTTTATAAACCCAAAGCAGCAGTTTTTGGGGATGTTGGTACTTTCAGTACCTGAGAGGAATACAGAGTTTCAGTCTCACAGCACAACACATCACAACAGAAAGAGACTCCAGTAACTCCAGTGAATTTTCATTATTTTTATGTAAAAGAGTCAAGTGTGAACCTTTTAAAACATAATGAAGCTGCAAAAGCAGCTTGTTTTGAATTAACTGGTTCTTTCATTCATGAAAAACACCATATTTACATACAACCACATACTTAGCTTGAAGTAGTTTAGCCCCACCCATTCAAACTAAATTTATGAATGAGGTGGAATACAGGGCAGCCAGTGAAAAGCTTATTTACAAATGTAAGTCTTAAAGGTACAGTAATAAAACAGCATGTTTAACCCCTTAAATGCCCAGAGCCCATCAGCTGGCCCAACGTTTTATTACACACTTCTGTAATCTAGGAATAGCTGAACAAGTTTTCATTGAAGTCCCTGTAGTTACTGAATAATAAGCCTGAGTATGTTATTAGCCTGGGATTTTAAGGGTTAATTCTAATTCTTATGAATTATGACAGTTTTTGTTACATAAAACCACACAGACATAAAAAGCGAAACAAAATTGAGGCTATAGGAGCATAAAAGATAGAGTTTAAAGAGTAAGCAGAGTTTAAAAGATATGTAAACAAATACGTACACTGTCTAGTTCTCAGCGGTGACTATTAGAGTCAGACAGACCTGAACAGAGTGTCTGATACTCACCACTGCAGACCTGCTGGAGAGAGCAGAGCAGCAGCACCATCAGCAGAGCAGACAGAGTCCTCATTCTAGCAGAAGAGATTTCACCCAGAGAGACGGAGCTGAGGAGAGGAGAGAGGAGTCCAGTGCTGGATGAGTGACCAGCACTCTGTCATTTATACAGAGTGGAAGCAGGACCCTCGCATGGCTGAAATCCCCTACAGCTCTAACATTTCGCACGTTTCTCAGTAGCTCTGCAGCCGTGATGTCTTTCCTGTTCACTCTAACACTAACATCACCTCCGTGTGGAAGAACAGCGTCAGCTATTTTCAGACATTGCAGAGAATCTGCCCCAAGAAACTGAAACTACTTTCTATTTTAATAAAGCAAATTATCATGGGGTTTCCAAAAATTAGACAGATGGACGGACGGACGGACGGACAGATAGATCTTTCCACAAGATTTTGGAGAGTCTGTCTGAATTTGTGTCCATTCATCCAGAAGAGCATTTGTGAGGTCAGACACTGATGTTGGACGAGAGGGCCTGGCTCTCAGTCTCTGTTGCAGTTCATCCCATAGTTGTTCGATGGGGTTGAGGTCAGGGCTCTGTGATGGCCAGTCAAGTTCTTTCACACCAAACTCACCCAGTCAGGCCTTTATAGAGCTGCTTTGTGCACTGGGGCTCAGTCATGCTGGAACAGAAAAGGTTCTTCCCAAACTGTTCCCACAAAGTTGGAAGCATAGAATTCTCCAAAATGTCTTGGTGCTGAAGCATTAAGATTCCCTTCACTGGAACTAAAGGTTCTAGACCAACCCCTGAAAAACAGCCCCATATCATCATCCCTCCTCCACCAAACTCTACAGCTGGCACAGTGCAGTCAGGCAGGTAACGTTCTACTGGCATTCTCCAAACCCAGACTGCAGTTATTGATCAGCAGAGTGCTGGTGACTCTTATGCTCTATGCTCCTCAGCACTCGGTGACCCGCTTTGTAACTTTATGTGGTCTGACACTTCATGGCTGAGTTGCTGTGATTCCTAAACGCTTCCATTTTTCAATAATACCACTCATAGCTGATCGTGGAAAATCTAGGAGGGAAGAAATATTGTGAACTTACTAGTTGCAACAGTGGCATCTTATTACAGCACCACACTCAAAATCAAGCTCTTTAGAACGACCCATACTTTCCCAAATGTTTCTTAAGGCAGACTGCATGGCTTGATTTTATACATCTGTGGCAATGGGACTGAATGAAACGTGAATTCAGTGATTAAGAGGTGTGTCCCAATACTTTTGTTCATATAGTGTAGGTAGATAGACAGACAGACAGATGGAGACAGACAGAGAAACTGGTTGATAGACAGACAGACACACAGACAGGGAGTCCTTATTCCATATGAACTGTTAAATTATGTAGTTTTAGAAAAGGAGTGAAACATTTCAGCACAGAATTTCAGCACACAGTGAACACAGATCTGTTTAGTTTTAAAACCTTTCAGACCAATTAAATATGAATCTTATCAGACCAATTAATAAATATTAATCTTGTCAGATAAAAATAGAGAGTGGTGTATTTATACAGGCTGGGTCATCCAAATGGAAGGAAAACCCACCATGTATATTCAAATATATTTGACACATCACAGCTTTCTGATTGTACCATGTAGGTGTACGGTTAGTGATTATAGCTCATGTTTTCCATTCACAGCTTGTGTTAGCCACCCTCTAGTCCTTCATCATGTGACATGACCACTAGAACTGTGACCACAGAGCTGCCTTTGGCTGTATATTTTTGGTTGCGGTCCACTGTCAATCTAGCAGTGACACTGACGTGTGTAAAAACTCCAGCAGCACTGCTGTGTCTGATTCACTCATACCAGCACCACACACTACTATATCAGTGTCACTGCTGGGATTAAAAATCACAATCAGCCAATCCAGACGATGACCTTCATCCAGTGTCTGTCCTTGCCTGACAGACCTGACCAGGGCCTTAAGCAAAACAAAGACAATTTACAATACTGTTTCATAGTTAATAGTTATCTATTCAGAAAGGAAGCAGGGAGGAATCAATAGGGCTGCATAAACACATAAACAACTGCTATTAGCTACTAAAGAGTTCTAGTTAATTACTCAGTAGGTTATAGCAAAACACACTGTATATCATTACTAATGAGCATTACTGATGTTACTGCGTTCTTCAATGGGAGTTAATTATGATCAGACACAGTATTACGAAGTGAAACACATTTGATTCAAAATTTATATATATATATATATATATATATATATATAGAGAGAGAGAGAGAGAGAGAGAGAGAGAGAGAGAGAGAGAGAGAGATCAATCACTGCTGTTGGAACTAAACCTTGTAACATTTTTTTGGTTTGTTTTGGTGTGTCTACTTTCGAGCAGCTTTGTAAATCAGTGTTTGAGTTTGAATAGAAAGATCAGACAAAATTACTGTTTGTTTACATGTGAAAACAGCAATTCTCAGGCAGCTTTGATAACTTGCTGTGTGTTTTTGTTTTTTCTGGGTTAAAGATTTAGCTCAGCCAGTTAGTGAGAAGGCCAGTGGCCCCTATTAGTCTTCAGTCTTCAGCCTTTAGTTTGGATTTTGTATTTTGAATTAGAATAATTTTGTGATGTTTTACTGCAGATTAGAGCCTCAGTTGTCTGCTGGTTTAGCTCTGGCTGTAGCATTCGCCTAGCTTTAGATATTTATTGTCACGCATCCCTCAGGCTCAGAGGCTCCATTTCCCAGAATTCCCAGGGGGATCACTTGATTCTCAGCCCTCTATCTTGCTCGTATCACCTGTTGGCTGAGTACTAACTGGTTACAGCTGTTCTGGTATGATTAGTTTAGTATAAAGCCCAGGCTTTTAGTCTAGATCATTGTGAGATATTGCTTCTCGTTCATAGTTTTTCGTTTTTTTCTTCTGGCTATTGTGATTTTTCCGGTTTTGACTCTGCTGTTTTGACTTTTGCCATTTTTGCCTTTGCCCTTTGGACTTTGTTTGCCTTGTTATGTTTGTCTTTTTGTGTCTCTTGCCTTTGCTGGATTGGACCTTTGCCTATTTTTTTGACCACGTTTTTGGATTCCGACTCAAACATTAAAGTCTCTCTCTCTTTTTTTAACCACGAGCGTCTGATTTATTCTGCCTCGTTACATTTATCTGCTTTCCAACATATCACTTCCTTTCGCTCGCAAACAGTCGGCTGATACATTCGTTATGTGTTCAAAGGCTTAGGAATGTAGTCAGGGCTTTGAATCACTACATCACAATGGTGATGTGGAGGGAGTTTGGTGGGGTCTTTCATATGAACGGTCTGATTCAGTGAGTAAGTCTAAAGTTTGTCATAGAGATCTGATTCAGTCAAATGACGCCTATTTCGTAGGGTCTTTCACATGGAAGACCTGATTCGGTCATTTGACGTTGTGTTTTTTTATTTGTTTCGTTTTTGTGAACTTTTGCAACTTGTGCTCCTTATTTGCTCTTCAGGGAGATCAGTTTTATTTAGTGTTCCTCAGTCGTGCGGTAACACGGTTTATTAGGATGGTCCACTGCAGATGCTCAGTCTATCTTTAACTAACATTCAAATAAATGTCTGTTAAATAAAACTGAACTTGAAGTTCATTCAGTTAAATCTATCTCTAATCCTAAACCTGAACCTAACCCTAACCTCAACCTCAAGGCAAAACCTACACCTACTCCTACATTACCCTGCCAAGATGTTGTTGATAATCAACCAGAGTATCGCCAGAAAGTTTGTTAATGATTTAAGTATCTGCAGATCATGTATAGGGGACCATCCAAGTAAAATGTGACCAGCTGGTTTGTTCAGCGTTAGTGACCAGCAGACTTTAGATTTTTAGTATTTGCATTGAAGTAATGTGAGTGTGTTTTAGAGTTCCCTTAGTAATTGTGATGGATGCTGAGCTATAATATGAAGTGTTTTATTAAATATTATAGGTCTTGGAAGTTTGGCTGGAACAGCACATTCATGTTCTGTATATCTGTTGTTTATTCTTAAGGGTGGGGGTGTTATGACCCCCGATTGTAATTTTCCTTCTGTGTGCCTTTGTGCTGGCATTTTGTGTTTTTCGCCTGTTGTGTGTCCCTTTATGTGTAGGTCCGTGATTGGCCCCATAGGGGCGCACTGATGTGTAAGAGGTTACCAAGCATCCATTCCAGGAGACGTTCAGGGCTCTCTCCCCTCTGACGTGACCTGGAAGAACATCTGTCCATCCAGACCAGCCACTCTTCACTCCACTGTACTTCACTTCACCTCTATTATTACAGTTGTAAAAGCCTTATTAGACTTTGTGGACATTTTGTTTTGTTTACCTTTCTCCTGTTTTTAAAGTACAGAGTTAGAGTGTCCGTCTGTGTTTTTGTTTCTTTTACTTTTAGGTCAGTCAGAATTGTAATCATCAGTTATTGTTTATTATGTTGGTTTATGCTTGTCTCCAGTGCCATCATGCCAACTAGTGACTGAGCATTTGAAGAAAATAAACCTGCAGTGATGTCCAGTGTTTGGTCTGGCAGCAGGCGTGGGAAGAGAGTCTCTGTTACGGCCTGACCCTAGACCGGGTCATACCCGATAGTACATAATGGAGACAAAAGGAAAGGAAGGTAATAATAATGTCGGAAAATTTTCATGGAAAACCCATTATGTGTATTTTTCTCTTAGGCACAGTTTTCTCAAGACACCATGGACGTGTTCAGTTAGTAATTATTGCTCATATTTTCCACAATTTGTGTCATTGATCCTTTAGCTCAGGAGTCGTCAACTGGTCAACTGCAGTGTAGATGCGGACCCAGCAAAGTATTTAAGTGAACCAAACTAAGCAAAGCTGATATATATATATCGCTGCTGTTGGAAGAAAACCTTGTATCTCCATTTTTGTCATTTTTCAGTTTTTGACATAATTTGAAAATACCTGTTGTTCTGTTTAAATTGTGTGTAAATTTCATGAAGAATGGACCAAAAGAAACGTCCCAAAATTATGTGTGTGTGTATATATATATATATATATATGTATATATATATATATATATATATATATATATATAAATCTATAAATAAAAAAATAAATTAATATATGACACTTTTTTTTAGCTGTATGCAGCTCAGCTGAACAAAGACTACAGGGCTAGATATCAGACATATTTTCTGGGACGTTTCTAATGTAAGTAGTGAACAAAGCATATTAAAAAGGAAAGTCAATAACAAAAGCAGTAAGCAGTTTAAAAATGAATAATCTGTATTTGTCTCTACATTTTAAGTCCAAAACTGATAAGTCTCATCAGTTCAGAGTCTGTGGCGCTCACCAAAAGTGGAAGCGTTAAGCTCCACTGTTAAACAAATCACTTCAAATTAAACAAACTCGATTCAGCTCTAAAAAAATAATAATTGAACTCAACATGAAACATCTACTTTTTTGGTTTTCTTCATATTATTATTTTATGCTAAAAAAAAAATTCACCACTGCGCCTGTGGCTTTCAAGCCCAAATCAAAAAACTTTACAGGATCATAGAGCAGATAGCCGAATTGGTTGCTTGTGCTTTTTTAACTGATTTTACTTACAGTGTTCATGTAGAGTTCATTTACTATTTTTTTCCAAAGATATTAATAAGGGAATAAGCAACATCCTGAAACTGAGCCATTCCACATAAGATATAATGCTAATAGCTCTACCTCTTATTCCACTACAGTCAGCCTAACTCCTCTTATGTCACTATTCTACAACTATGCTAGCAACACCTTGGCAACCACCTGGGATACCATAGCAACAGCTTAGCAATTCTTTAGCAACCACCTGGGATAGTATAGAAAGAGCCTAGCAACACCTTAGCAACCACCTTGAATAGTATAGCAGCACTTTGGAAATCACCATTAAGTAACACCCTAGCAACAAGACAGAACACAATGTCAACCTCATAGCAATACCATAGCAACTCCCTGGAATTACTATATGAACCCAATCAAGTTATTAAAAACAATCATTCCTGTTGTGTCACTGCTTTAACCTTTTAAAGCCTTGTTAGCTGGCTTTATCAATGAACATTACAGTTTAAAGTTCACAAACTTTCCCTTTTTAGTTTTAAATGAAATTAATTTTTATGTTTTTAAGACACTTTCATTCATTTTTTAACAAAGCCAAATCATTTTAAAAAGCCCATTAGATAAAGTGTAGATAAACTAAGGAATCACTCATGCTAGTTTATTTATACAGTCTTTTTTATCAAGAAAACTGGACCTTTACCCCTGATGTAGCCCTTCATCAATGGCACAGTAACTAAAACATAATATAAGAAGTAGGACATTGTGGGAAAACGTATGTTTATTGAAGAAAAAGAAATATGCATTATACATAAACATATTATGTTTCAAATATATTAGATTTTTTTCACAGTGGTATATACATGTGGACAGAGTGGATGTATATAGACATTGTACTGTAGGAAATAATCTTGATGTGGTCAGTGTGGTCAGCTTCAGGATTGTAGCTTCATTATGTGTTGCTGAACCCAAGAGGCCTTAGGATTCACACACCATTCATATCCAGCCACTGTGTAAAAGCTGTGATGAAGACAAAGACAGAACACTGTTATGGTTCATTATTGATTTTGAGTCAGTCAGTTTCCTTAGGTAATCCCTAAAATATCAAACAAATTCAGAGGTGGGGAGACATGTGGTGGTCTTTCCAAGTAAGTGATACTCACATAACAGCTTCTTTAGGGCAGTTGCTGCTGGTCCTGCTGTATGATATAATACGCATCAAGGGGATCTTTACTTTTGCAAACTTAAAACAACATTTTTTGGGGGTGTTGCTGCCTTCAGTACCTGAGAGGAATACAGAGTTTCAGTCTCACAACACATCACAACAGAAAGAGCCTCCAGTAGTTGGTTAGACTTAAAGGGCCGATATCATAGCAAACTGAACTTTCATTGTTTTTATGTAATAAAAAGTAGTGTGTGTACATTGTTAAAGTTTCAAAACATAATGAAGCTGAAAAAACAGCTTGTTTTTAATTAATCGGTCCTTTAATATCATGAAAAACACTGTATTTACATACATACTGCCTATAGCAGTTTGGCCACACCCATTCAAACTAAATTTATGAATGAGGTGGAATACAGGGCATTCAATTAAAAGCTTATTTACAAATGTAAGTCTTAAAGGTACAGTAATAAAACAGCATGTTTAACCCCTTAAATGGCCAGAGCCCATCAGCAGGCCCAACGTTTTATTACACACTTCTGTAACCTAAGAACAGTTCAACCAGTTTGCATTGAAGTCCCTGTAGTTACTGAATAATAAGCCTCAGTATGTAATTAGCCTGTGATTTTAAGGGTTAATTCTAAGGGATAAAGAGAGTTTGGTAAGTGATCTTCTACAAATGTCTGTCTAGTTCTGAGTGGTGACTATTAGAGTCAGATAGACCTGATCAGAGTGTCTGGTACTCACCACTGCAGACCTGCTGGAGAGAGCAGAGCAGCAGCACCATCAGCAGAGCAGACAGAGTCCTCATTCTAGCAGAGGAGATTTCACCCAGAGAGACGGAGCTGAGGAGAGGAGAGAGGAGTCCAGTGCTGGATGAGTGACCAGCACCTCTGTCATTTATACAAAGTGGGACAGGATCTCCGCACGGCAGAAATCCCCTACAGCTCTAACATCTCGCACGTTTCTCAGCAGCTCTGCAGCCATGATGTCTTTCCTGTTCACTCTAACACTAACATCACCTCTGTGTGGAAGAACAGCGTCAGCTATTTTCAGACTTTGCGGAGAATCTGCCCCAAGAGACAGAAACTACGTTCTATTTTCTTACAGTAAGTTATTATGGGGTTTCCAAAAATTAGACAGACAGACTGACAGACAAACAGAGAGATAGATAGATAGATGGTGTTTGATGAGGTTGAGGTCAGGCCTCTGGGAGGGTCAGTCAAGTTCTTCCACACCAAACTCACCCAGTCAGGCCTTTATGGAGCTGCTTTGTGCACTGGGGCTCAGTCATGCTAGAACAGGAAGGGTTCTTCCCCAAACTGTTCCCACAAAGTTAGACAACTGTCCAAAATGTCTTGGTGCTGAAGCATTAAGATTTACCTTCACTGGAACTAAGGGTTCTAGACCAACCCCTGAAAAACAGCCCCATATCATCATCCCTCCTCCACCAAACTTTACAGCTGGCACAGAGCAGTCAGGCAGGTAAGGTTCTCCTGGCATTCACCAAACCCAGACTCGTCCATCAGACTGACAGATAGAGAAACGTGATTCATCACTCCACAGAATACGTTTCCACTGCTCCAGAGTCCAGTGGCGGCGCTTTACTCCACTCCATCCGATGCTCAGCATTGTGCTTGGTGATGTAAGGCTTGAATGCAGCTGCTCAGCCATGGAAACCCTGTCATGAAGATCCTAGCGCAGTTTCTGTGCTGATGTTGAGGCCAGAGGAGGTTTGAACTCTGCAGTTATTGATCAGCAGAGTGCTGGTGACTCTTATGCTCTATGCTACTCAGTGCTCAGTGACCCGCTCTGTAACTTTACATGGTCTGACACTTCATGGCTGAGTTGCTGTGATTCCTAAACGCTTCCACTTTTCAATAAAACACTCATAGCTGATCGTGAAAAATCTAGGAGGGAAGAAATTTTGTGAACTTACTAGTTGCAACAGTGGCATCTTATTACAGGACCACACTCGAATTCATTGAGCTCTTTAGAACGACCCATACTTTCACAAATGTTTCTTAAGGCAGACTGCATGGCTTGATTTTATACATCTGTGGCAATGGGACTGAATGAAACATGTGAATTCAGTGATTAAGAGGTGTGTCCCAATACTTTTGTCCATATAGATAGACAGACAGACAGATGGAGACAGACAGAAAAACTGGTCGATAGACAGACAGACACACAGACACACAGACAGGGAGTCCTTATTCCATATGAACTGTTAAATTATGTAGTTTTAGAAAAGGAGTGAAACATTTCAGCACAGAATTTCAGCACACAGTGAACACAGATCTATTTAATTTTAAAACCTTTCAGACCAATTAAATATGAATCTTATCAGACCAATTAATAAATATTCATCTTGTCAGATAAAAATAGAGAGTGGTGTATTTATACAGGCTGGGTCATCCAAATGGAAGGAAAACCCACCATGTATATTCAAATATATTAGACACATCACAGCTTTCTGATTGTACCATGTAGGTGTACGGTTAGTGATTATAGCTCATGTTTTCCATTCACAGTTTGTGTTAGCCACCCTCTAGTCCTTCATCATGTGACATGACCACTAGAACTGTGACCACAGAGCTGCCTTTGGCTGTATATTTTTGGTTGCGGTCCACTGTCAATCTAGCAGTGACACTGACGTGTGTAAAAACTCCAGCAGCACCGCTGTGTCTGATTCACTCATACCAGCACAACACACTACTATATCAGTGTCACTGCTGGGATTAAAAATCACAATCAGCCAATCCAGACGATGACCTTCATCCAGTGTCTGTCCTTGCCTGACAGACCTGACCAGGGCCTTAAGCAAAACAAAAACAATTTACAATACTGTTTCATAGTTAATAGTTATCTATTCAGAAAGGAAGCAGGGAGGAATCAATAGGGCTGCATAAACACATAAACAACTGCTATTAACTACTAAAGAGTCCTAGTTAATTACTCAGTAGGTTATAGCAAAACACACTGTATATCATTACTGATGAGCATTACTGATGTTACTGCGTTCTTCAATAGGAGTTAATTATGATCAGACACAGTATTACAAAGTGAAACACATCTAATTCAAAATAAGACACCCTAACAAAATCAAACCTGACATTACTACTAAAGGAGACCTGAGACTGATCGCAGTATGCTTACACATAGAATAAGCAGCTGTGTTAGATTTAATAAAGCACTATCACGCTTTTACAACAAGACAGTACAAGAAGACAGTATATATATATATATATATATATATATATATGTATACATATTATGTCAAAAACAAACCAAAAAAAGTTACAAGGTTTTACAAGGTTTAGTTAATACACACACACATATATATATATATATATATATATATATATATATATTATATGATATATATATTATATATATATTACACAACCCTGTACAACACAATAAAACTACTCCTAAATTACTGATCAATTCAACTGCCCAATAGCTGAGTCTTACACAGCTGATGAAGTATATATTAAAAGCACTGGAATACACTACACAGTGAGCAGTATCCAACATATAACGGTTATATTCTCTATTATTTCTAACAGAAATAGGTATCCTCAGAGGCAGGAGCCCCAAACAGACTATAATAAGGCACCAGAATACATTTGACATGAGTCAGACTTTGCATCCTAGAGGGAACAGGGAAAGTATAATCTCAGCAGGTGCCAAAATAGCATTGCTAAGTCTGATTTGAATATAAAACGTTCTCCTGGCATTCACCAAACCCTGACTCGTCCATCGGACTGCCAGGTAGAGACAATTAATTCTATGTTCTCAGTTCTCAGACTAGTTTGAGATATATATATATATATATATATATATATATATATAGAGAGAGAGAGAGAGAGAGAGAGAGAGAGATAGATAGATAGATAGATAGATAGATAGATAGATAGATAGATGGATATCAATTGCTGCTCTTGGAACTAAACCTTGTATCTCTGTTTTTACCTTTTTTGTTGTTTTTGACATAATGGGACAATGCCTGTTGCCCTTTACATTGTATGTAAATTTCCTGATGAATAGACCAAAAGTCATGACTCAAAACTACTCTGAAAGTTGTTTCGTTCCAAGTATGTTTTTTATTTCCTTTTCCTGTAAAGTTACCATTTTGGAGATACGAGGTTTTCTTCCCACAGCAGCAGTGTGCCTAAATAGTCTTATTAGTCTTTTTAGACTAATTAATTAATGTTATTCTCATGAGATAAAAATAGAGACTGATGTGTTTATGCAGGCTGGTTCATGCAAATGGAAGGAAAACCCACCGTGTATATTCAAATATATTAGACACATCACAGCTTTCTGATTGTACCATGTGGGTGTACAGTTAACAAATATAGCTCATATTTTCCATTCACAGTTTGTGTTAGCCACCCTATAGTCCTTCATCAGTGGCATGTTTCTGACCACAGAGCTGCTTTCGGCTGTATATTTTTGGTTGCGGTCCATTGTCAATCTAGCAGTGACACTGACGTGTGTAAAAACTCCAGCAGCACCACTGTGTCTGATGCACTTGTACCAGCACCACACACTACTATATCAGTGTCACTGCTGGGATGAAAAACCACAGTCAGCCAAACGAGACGATGACCTTCAGGTTTATAGGAACAGTGCCTTAAGAACAAAAATGCTTTACGTTACCGTTCCATAGTTAATAGGTAACTATTCAGAAAGTAAGCAGAGAGGAATGAATGGGATATATATATATATATATATATATATATATATATATATATATTATATATATATATATATATATATCTCAACTCCTGGTAAACTACTAACTGATGAAACATATTCTCATACTTCTAAAAGCACTGGAATACACTACACAGTGAGCAGGATCCCACATATAAAGATTATATTCTCTATTATTATGAACAGAAACATCCTCAGAGGAGGCAAGAGCTCCAGACAGGCTATAATAAGGCACCAGAATACATTTGACATGAGTCAGGCCTTGCACCCTAATATTATGCTCCCCCTGATATTATCCCCCCTACTGAACCAAGAGAAATAAATATAATATAATATAATATAATATAATATAATATAATATAAAATAAATATAAATATAAATATAAATATTAATATAAATATTAATATAAATATAAAAATAAATATACTATTCTGTAACCGGCACATCAAGATAAGCCGCCAGAATGAGTCTGGGCTTGCACCTCAGAGATAAAGGTGGAAGGTATAATTTAAGTAGGTTTTAAAAACTCCCCCTGAGTGTGTAAAAGCTGCTGAAATTTCGACCAAAATTAATCTTAAAAATACCATAATTAATAACAGTAACCAACGTCTATACAGTGTATGCGTGTTTATAATCTTGTTCATTAAATTTTTAAAATCCCAGGCTTATTACATACTAAGGCTTATTATTCAGTAACTACAGGGACTTCAATGCAAACTGGTTGAGCTAATCTTAGGTTATAGAAGTGTATAGTAAAACTTTGGGCCTGCTGGTGGGCACTGATCATTTAAGGGGTTAAGCATTCTAGATTTGTCCTAGCTAGATATCGCTTAGCCACACTCTCAGAAAATAAGATATGAAACTGTCACTAGGGCAGTACCCCTCTTGTCACTGGGGTGGTACCCACAAGGGTCCATCTCAGTACCTTTAGTCAGAGAACATAACTGTACCATAATCCACTGAAATGATATGTTCTAAGCTGTACTGACTCCACACACCCCGTCTCGTCTCCAGGCTTTTATTTTACTGTTCTGTTTAAAACATTCAGTTATGAAAAGGTACAAATACGAACTTTTCACCTGGAAAAACTTATTTAAGGTTCACAATCAGACCTTAAAACCACTGTTGTACCTTTGAGGGTACATTTACGCTGTTTGTACCCTAAGGAATGATAATGTAGCTGCACAGTACCTTTATTTCTAACAGTGTAATTAGAGATAAGTTAGTGTAAATTGTTTCAATATGTTTTCTCCAAAATCACATTAAAAGAGAAGAGAAAGTCACATTGTCCAGTAATGATGAGTGAAACTGCAACAACATGTCGTCAGAGGTGACCTTGGCTATAGCAAGTATGTTGCTCCAGGATTGAGAATTAGACTGTTTAGATTCTCATAACACTTATCATTGTGAAAGAAAGGCATTCAACCCCCTAGTGCTGCACCAACAACCAAAGTCTTTAACTAAACTATCACTGTGAGACTCTTTGTTTGGCTTTGGGTCCTGTTTTGCTGTTTGCTGGGAAGAATATTTGAAAATTAACCATTATTTACACACAGAAACGATGAAAATTGTGAGTGTGATCTGTAGTGACCATATGTATAATGCATGTGCAAAGGGGAGTCAGATTCTGCAAATTTGGTAGTCATCCCACAGTGGTAGATACAGCATATCAGAATATGAACAAATGATCAAACTCATCCACTGAGAACTCAGAACGAACTGCTGTTCATTCACAGCACTCAAAAAACATGTGTTCACTGCTGTGTGATGAATGAATCAGGTACATGGCAGACCAGCGGGCCGGTACTATGAGACCCCTTATCCAGAGAAGGGACTGTTTCATTCGGACTCCAGCACTACAGCTCTAATGTAGAGGCACACGGTGCTCTTTTCCAATGTTTGCTTCACTGTCTGGTTGTAGAAGAACAAGCAAGAGATTTCTTTATTAAATTTAAAGCTGCTGCGTATATTCTGAGTGCTAATGTGAGCAAAGCCAATAAGCAACAAAACTTTTTAGATGCAAATACGGTCTCAGGTCTTGAGTGTTATTTTGAATGAAATGTGTTTCACTTCATAAAACTGTTCCTGATCATAATCTACTGCTAATAAAGAACACAATAACACCTTCATTAGTAATGAGTTACCACGTATTATACTAATAGAAGTTAATATAAGTGACTTAAGTGTTAATGCAGCCTTACTCATTCGCCTCTGCTTAGTTCCTGAATAGTTACCTATTAACTATGAAACAGCATTGAAAAGCATTACCACTGTATTTCATTGAAACAGCCCAGCTGGCTGAGTTTCACTGTTACATGCATTTGCAACAAGAGAGAAATGATTAAAACCATCGACAGAGTGATTAGATGTTTTAATGTAGTGCTCAGATCACTCACTAAGGGTTTGGGCTCGGATGTATGGAACGTGGTCATTGTAAAAAGTGTTAAATATAAGGTGAACATCTTTCCACTTTGCTTTCTTTTTCTTTCACAACATTATTTGCACATACCATGTCACTAAAACATCAAGTGAAACAAGGACTTTATTAAAAACCTTTATTGAAAAATATATTGTAAATATATTAGTTTATTTATTTCACTGTGAAATATACATATGTACAATGTGCACAAATATAAATATTCTACTGTACATGCTACTGTAATGTTCTCATGTGGTCAATGAGGTCAGCTTCAGGGTTTTGAGGATGTTCAGTTTGGTGCTGCAGTGGATGAATTTTGCCGTTTGTCCAGTGTTTTAAGGTGATCAGCGACCCAAGAGGCTGTTGGATCTACGCAGAACTTGGCCTTAACTGTCTGAAAGCTGAGACAAAAACAAAGGCACAGTAACACTGTTAGTGCAAGACACAACAAATAAAGAGAAAAACTGATCACAGAAACACCCACATATTATATTTAACATCAAAAACACTGTAAGCTGAGAAATAATCTCAGGATATATGATTCCTGTACTGAAAGAAGCATTTAGCTGTATTCTGTGGCCCAGATCTAACTGTAATATATTATCCTACTTCAAGTATAAAATGCTTATTAATATTCAGAGTCGAAAGTTTGAATTTATGTGGCAGTGTTGACTGTTGGCTGCCAAAATATTGACTATTTGTATTCACTTAATACAGCTTGGCAGATATTTAGAGTAAACAAAATTATGTCTAATTTAAATGTTTGGACGTCATTAACATTGCAGATGTCCTGTTATATTGTAAGTTATTTTCCCTCACATGCTCATGTAAAAGCTGATATTACTAATGTCAGAAATAACTCAGTGCTGATTGTGAGCCTATCAAACTACATAGTTAACTAGTGAAATATTCTGAACATTGAATTCTGTCTAAAGTTATTCAGCAGGCTTGTTGAGGCTATTCAGAGCAAGTTATACTTACACAACAGCTTTTTTGGGGCAGTCGCTGTTGGTCCACCAGTAGGATTTAATACGTCGCAGGGGGATCTTTATCATACTGAGCTTAATACAGCAGTCACTGTTGTTGTCAGTGCTACTGGTACCTGACAGGAGCCAACATACAGAGTTTCAGACTCACAGCACAACAGAAAAAGATTGCAGCACTTATACACACTGTAAATGCATGAGCCAGAACTGAACAGAGGTTCTTATACTCACCACTGTAGACCAGCTGGAGAGAGCAGAGCAGCAGCAACAGCACAGCAGACAGGACCCTCATTCTAGCAGAAGGTTTCTCAGACAGAGAGAGGGAGAGAGAAATGCAGCTGAGGGAAAGAGAGAGGAGTCCAGTGCTGGCTGAGTGACCAGCACTCGTCATTTATACTGTGCACGCCGAAACCCCCTACAGCTCTGATGTTCATCACTTTTCTCAGTATGTTCTCTCACAGAAACGCGTCCTTCCTCTTCTCCCTTCACTTCCGTGCGGGTGAACAGTGTCAGCTATTTTCAGACTGCTAAGAATCTGCCCCAAGTGTCTGCTGAGAGCTGTAAATGTAAATGAGATAGACAGACAGACAAACAGACAAACAGACAGACAGACTGACAGACAGACAGATAGATAGATAGATAGATACACAGACAGACAGTCAGATAGACATATAGACAGTCAGACAGACATATAAACAGACAGAAACAGAGATATATACAGATAGATAGATAGATAGATAGATAGATAGACAGACAGACAGATTGACAGACAGACAGACAGATAGATAGATAGATAGATAGATAGATAGATAGATAGATAGATAGATGGATAGACAGATGAATGAACAGACAAACAGATTGATAGACAGTGTTCAAATTTCATTTTAAACAATTTCATAAACATATTAATCAGCTTTATCAGACTCAGGTAAAAAAGAAGCTGCTATATGTTGACAAATAAGCCGAACGGAACTGAAATAAAGGGGAAAAGCACAGTTTATTTATATATGTTACACACAGTTATCTCAGCTGTCTCAGTGCACTGTGTAGGTGTACAGTTAGTGATACAGTTCATGTTTTCCATTCACACAGTTTGTGTTAGCCACCCACTACTCCTTCATATGTGGTATGTTTCTGACCACAGAGCTGCTTTGGGCTGGATAATTTTGTTTGGTGGACTTCCTCAGCTGCAGGGGGCTAATAAACTGTGCAGAGACAGAAGGGCTGACTGCTCATCTACAAAGTGCACCCATCCATTTTTATCCACAACGGGCCAGCATGGCTGGAGTTTTTCATTCCAACAAAGCAGGAGCACCCGAACAGCTGTCTGAAGAGTGAAGCTGACTGAATAAACAGCTGGAATCAAGTGTGCTCCTTCTGGATTGGAATGAAAACCTGAGCCACACTGGACTGACCTGTAAGGTAGATGTTTCTGATAAAATGGCCAGTAAGCATACACAGCAAAAAGTGTTTGTAAATATACATGTTTAATTCATGTGGAATGTACATTGTAAATTCAAAGCCACATGTTTTTTTCAGTGGACAGGTGGTACTGAATGAAGGCCCAGGTCAGTGGTTGGAGTTGAGGGAATATGTGGAACTGCTTAGATATATAGATAAAAGAACTTTATCACTGAAGTGAATTAACATACTGTTTTAAGAGAAAAGCTGCTTACACATCTGCCCTTGATACTCAATGCTGAGCGTAAGGCAACACAAACTGACTGAAAGTTATGGCCATAGGGAGATAAAGAGTATGATATCAGAAGACAAGAGAGCTTCTTCACTCTTACAGACGTGAAAGCTCCTGTGCGCCGCTCCACTGCAGGAAAATGAACGCAGGCATTTCTTTGTAATATGAAAAAGAGTTGCACTTCCTCATTCTGCTCTCACTGCTTCCTTCTCAACTCTGAGTATTTACACTCTCAGCCTGTCTGGTGTTTTCTCAGCCACATTTCCGACAGGCCCACTTCAGCGAACTGAACATGTGTAAAAGTGTTTCAGTTTGGACAGTTTCAGTCTGATGAGCTGATGAAATTTAACTTTGACCTTCATACATTTACACTCACTGGCCACTTTATTAGAAACCCATTGCTTACAGCTCTGCAGTGCTTAGAGACTGCAGGCCAACTGTTGTTGCACAGTTTGTTTTTAGGCTTCACATCATTTGCACCCATGAGACTCACGTCCAAATCACAGATACAGATGGTGTTGCCTTAAATTCAGCACCGGGTAACTACGAATGAGAAGCACGTATTTTATGGGCAGTGGCATTACAGTATCTGCAGGCTTGAGCTGAGAGGAGGAGGAGGAGGCTCAGTGCTGATCCTGTCTCAGTCCGGCTTATGGACTGCATCAGGTGTAGCTTTGTTCCACAGTGTTTTTCTTTTTATTTTTTCAGATAATTGTCAAAACAAATAAATAAACAATATCAAAATATATGCGAATGTTCAGCTGTTCTGAAATGTATTTAAACTAAAACTCTTTAGAGAGACTAAAACCACTAGTTTGACATGGACTAAATTACAATGCAGAACCTCTGTTTGTCTGTCTGTCTGTCTATCTAGCTGTCTACACTCTTAAAAAGATGATTCTTTAAGGGTTCTGTAGTAAAAAAAAAGGTTCTATATAGAACCATGAACACTCAGAGAACCCTTTTCTTGATTACAGAGTTCTTTGCATGGTGAAATCGTTCTTCAGATTGGTGGAAAATGTGCTGTAGATGGTTCTATATATATATACCATTTGAAAAGGGTTCTGGATAGCACCAAAAAGTGTTCTGCTGTTGTTATGATGTCAGGTTTGACACAAAAGAAGAACCCTTTTTTAGTGCTATATAGAACTATTTTCAAAAAGATTCTATATAGAACCATCTACAGCACATTCTCCACCAATCTGAAGAACCATTTCACCATGCAAGGAACACTGTAATCATGCAAAGGGTTCTTTGAGTGTTCATGGTTCTATAAAGAACGATTTGTTTGCTAAAGAACCCTTAAAGAATCCTCATTTTTAAGTGTGTAGTTCTCCATCTATCTGTCTGGTTTGTGAAAAACACATATTTACTTACTTCACAGAATCGAATACTTTCTGTTTCTTGGGGCAGATTCTCAGCATGTCTAACAGTAGCTGAGTTTGTTTATGCAGAAGTGATCAGAGAGGCAGTGAGGAGAGAAGAGGAACTGAAGACTTCAGGAACAGAACGTACCTTGGAATATGTCCGATAATGAGAAGCGACGGGGATTTCACTTTTCCACTCTTCCAGCACTGGACTGCTCCCTCCTCTCTCCAGCTCCGTCTCTCTGGGTTCTGCTAGAATGAGGTGCTGCTCTGTTGACGGTGATGCTGTTCTGCTCTGTCCAGCTGGCCTGATGAGTATCCATCAATCTGTCCAACTACAATCACTGCAAAGTATGAAGAAATGACAGTGCTGTATTTACATGTTTAATTATCACCACTGTGAAAGATGAAGGCCTAATACATTCGCTCTGTAAAACACTTTAAAAATAACCTCTTTCCAGAAAAGTTCACCTGCTTCTAAGTTCAACCTGCTTCAGTCTGCTGGAGAACTAAAGCTTGGGAGAAATTTTACCTTTCAGCAGGACTTTGATCCCAAGTATAAGGCCAAAGCAACATAGGAGTGGTTGAACAACAGAGGGTTGAATGATCTATAACAGCCAAGTCATTATTATTATTATCATTATTATTATTATTATTTCATCCTTTCTCTTTACTTCTTCTGTTTTGTCTCTGTTATTTCGGTTCTTTGTTTCACTCAAAGCAGGGGGTGGGTGAGAGGGTAGGGAGGTGGTGTTTGGAGGGGTGTGGGGTGGTTGTGGTGCCACATCACCTTATATCTATATGATCATTAATAAATGATGAGTTGTGACATTAATAGCGAAGTGATTTATGTCCCCTGGAAAAGGGGGGGTGGTGGTGTGGCCAAGGAATGTTGGCCCAGAAATAAAATATATATATATATATATATATATATATATATATATATATATATATATATATATATTTACATAAACAGCCAAGTCCAGTCCAATTGTGAATCTTTGGCACTATTTGAAAATTGCAGTCTACAAGCATCATCCAACCAACCTAAACATCCTGCAGCAATGGTGAAAATCTACCAGTTTGCAAAGCTGATAGAAACGTACTTCAACAGACTTAAAGCTGTTATTGCAAGTTCAAACAAGTACTAGAGTGAAGGGGTTGAATACTTATGCAAGTAGCATTTTTCAGTTTTTAATTTTTGTTTAAAGATCTGCTGAGAAATGATGATTTTTGACTTTAAGAGCATATCAGTTTGTCATAAAATTCCTAGCTGGAACAATCTGTGTAAGTGTCATTTGTAATCCAGACAAATTTGATGACTTTTAAGGGGGTTGAATACTTTTACAAGGCACTGTATGTATGTATGTATGTGCTCACTGCACACATGTACATATTACTGTGAAATATACTTACTGAGGAAGTATATATACTGAGGAACTATATCCATTACACATGCAGCTTTGCATTATGTCATTTTCCATTTCTCAAAAAGCCTTATTTCTGTTTTAGTGACTTAAGAATGATAGTTGAAAGGAAAAGCTAGATTGCAGATGGTTGTGAAGAGATTAGCCAAGAGGCCACATTCATAATGCAGTCAAAAAGTCTTGTCTGGTGATGTAACTGATTGGCCACTGTCGAGTAGTACTTTTTTCTTTAGACTGCACTCTTTCTCTGCATCTTATACACATCTTATACACGTTTTACATATACAAATCATTTTACTGAATATTACACTGTTAAAATGCACTTCTGCAGTGTCCACTTTAATAAAAGCGCATTTTAAAGAGGTTTAAAATGGACAGAGTGGACTGACAAGAGTGATTAAAACACATTTTCTGTTAACAGGAGAAATTGAGATACTCTGTGAATCTACTGACGATAGAAAGTGTCTTAAGTTTTCACACTGATGATAAAGATAAAGGATGATAGCGACCTTAAGCATCTTAGACCGTTTGCCCTAAAGTCCCTGTAGTTACTGAACAATAAGGCTTAGTATGTAAAGAGCCTGGGATTTTAAGGGGTTTGAACGTGTGGAATGGAAATGTGGATGAACATGCAGGTTCCATGGAGCATAAGGAGTGAGATCAGGATCACTGTTCAATATTGTTTTTAACGTGCGCTCCCCCACTTTAGCTCTGCCCTCGGATGTGCATCACGCTTACTTTACAAAAATGACCACTTGCAGTTAAAAACTGATTTTTCAACCAGAGCTCATTAACCAGCTATACAAACTTTGCAATTATCTTTTTTTTTTTTTTAATTTGTACATAACATACATAACACCCATAAAATTTGTGAATCACTGCTCCAGCAGCACTGCTGTGGCTGATCCACTTGCACCAGCGCAACACACCCTAACACACCACCACGTCAGTGTTACTGCAGTGCTGAGAATGATCCACCAACCAAATAGTGCCCGCTCTGTGGGGGTCCATGGGGGTCCTGACCACTGAAGAACAAGGTAACAAAGTATGCAGAGAAACAGATGGACCACAGTCTGTAACTGTAGAACTACAAAGTGAAACTATATGGTCAGTGGAGCTGATAAAATGGACAGAGTGTAGAAACAAGGAGGTGGTTTAAATGTTGTGGCTGATTGGTGCAGCTACTACATCATTGTGGTTAGTTTTATCTTGATGTGGGCCCTTTAACACACTGAACTCAACTCACTGAGGCTTTAGGAATGACTGACTGGCTTAATCGGGTGTGTTATATCAGATGAAGTGCTGAACTCCAGATACTCGAGTATAACATACTGCAGATCTTAAACATTCCCATTGTACACACTGACAGAGAAGCTCTTTCTCTCACGCTGCAGACTGAGCACGCTCAGATCTCTGTAGAGCTTCTGAACATAATCTCTCACGCTTATAAGAAAGAGTGACTGCAGTAAACACTGACATCAGCTTGTTTTTATTTCACTGCTTTCTAAGAAAGTAGTTTTGTGGAGAGGCGAGTGTTTTCATTCAGCAGAAGGCTGAGGTAGTGAAAGTTCACTGCAGAGACGATTTCCTAATTCTATAGTATTCTGTTCTGTGATTCTGTTTCACAGCCGATCAATGAGACACTTTCTCTTTTTATAGAACATTTTATTTACATTTAAAGGTCTTTAAAATGGATCTCTTTAGTGCTGCATGTTGGTTTTAGTTTGATCTATCTGTGTCTGTCATTGTTTTTATCCAGGATGTTCTTTTTTGTCTTTATTTTGTATTTATTTTGTAAATTTCTGTAAAGTGATTCAAGCTCAGCTGATGGCACTGTAAACAATCTGATGCAAAAGGCTGCACACTTGGTCAAATGATGTGAAAATAAGTTAACGCACCCTCTTTAATGCACAGTTATTGTTTATTTGCTGAATTGAACATATTGGGAGAAAATAAACATAAAATGTGAACTGTGCAAAAGTTTTAAGGCATATTTTATTTTGTTTTCCAATATATTAAACTTCGCAAATAAATAGAAATTGTGCACTAATTTTTGCCTGAAGATGCCACATTTGAGTGTGTTCACTCTGAAGGATGTGTTAACTTATTTTTCAAAGAAATTCAACAAAACAAATAACATAAACCTTTGCATAAGACTTTTAGGAAGAGTGTCTACTCTGTGCAGGTCTGTCTCTTGGGGCAGATTCTCAGCAAAGTCTGAAAATAGCTGAGGTTGTTCTTCCACACAGAAGTAGTGTTTGTATTAGAGAAGAGGAAGGACGTTACGCTGGCAGAGCTACTGAGAAATGCACTAAACATTAATTCATTAGGGGATTTCAGCCATGAGGTGATTCTGCTTCCACACTGTATAAATGAGGAGGTGCAGGTCACTCATCCTGCACTGGACTTCTCTCTCCTCTCCTCAGCTCCATCTCTCTGGGTGAAATCTCTTCTGCTAGAATGAGGACTCTGTCTGCTCTGCTGATGGTGCTGCTGCTCTGCTCTCTCCAGCAGGTCTGCAGTGGTGAGTATCAGAAACTCTGTCCAGTTCTGGCTACAATGACTGCACAATATGGAGAAAATGCTAGTACTGCTATTATATAATTTTGTCCGTATGCCTTATAATAAAAAAAAAACAAAAAACAAAAAAAACTGACAACCAGTAATTTGATGGTGATAATTGGCCTGCATTGTTTTGAGCCAAACAAATTTAATTTTCTACAGCTGGATTACATGAGAACCTTTAAAACATCCACAGAAATAAGTTTGGGGCTTATTTGCATATTGAATGTCTAAACTAATTTTGGGATAACAAAAAACAGTATATACTGTGTAGCCCTGTTGGTTACTGGCTTTAACCTTAATAATTAATTGATAACCATTCAAACAGAGAACATGCATTTCTGAAACATACTTGAAAGAGGAATTCCACTGATTTTTCACAAATTCTGCATAAAGTCATACAGAGTGATTTGGATCATTGTAGAGACTCCGGTTTCTTTACAGTGGTGGTGATAGGAACCAGGACTTGTAACACCACAACACAAACATAGCCATTTTATTTACTATCCAAAACCACCGGTGAATCTAAACGTCTTCTCAGCTTTTATATTGATGATGGTAAAACTGTGGTAAATCTGAACGACATATTTTGCCTCACAATGTCCTGCATGTACCTGTCACACATGTACTTTATAAAATGTCAAACTCCATCTCAGAAGTATCATAAAACAGTGTTGTAGTCATCAGGCAGCGTGTTTGCAACCATTTCTTGTAATAACTTTCTGTGAGGGAGCCTTTAAAGGTGGACATCTGGTTCCTATCACCACCACTGTGAACAATTCTCAGAAATTTCTGTAGAACAGAGCATTTCACACCAAACCACTCTGAATGGTTTATTTGGTCTCTTAATAAATTCATTATACAGAATCTTTTTTAAAAATTGATGGAATTCCCCTTTAAGCCTAACGGTCATCTGTTAAAAGTGCTGGAATCTCCTTCTGTGATGCTGTAATGCACTGTAGGCCTGAAACTCATGTTGATACATGTTGACTCCTCTCAAGGAATTGAAGGCATTGACATTGAAGATTGCTGTACTAAGCTGACTAAGTTGCGGAAGATTCCCTTGGCGCGCATTGAATCCCACAGGTGGACCAGCAGCGACTGCCCCATAAGAGCTGTTGTGTGAGTATCACATGATCAGGAGAGTCTCCACAATCAACATGTTGAACTGACTGAATGAACTGAACTGATCTGTAATTAACCAGGAAACCTGATAAACCCAAAATCATCATCACAGAGACGACATTAAAGGCTGATTTTGTATTGTAGTGCAATGATTTAGAATCAATTTTCCATGTGGAATTATTACTAACTATGTCAATTAGGCCACATATACACACTGTCCATGTTTACCAGCTTTGTTTAGTGTTGATCTGCTGTATTAATGGAGTTTTGTCACTTTTTCCTTTGTCACAGCTTTGAGATGGATACTGGAAAGAGCTTCTGTGTGGATCATTCCCTGGATTGGGTCAAAAGTCACATGAAAGCACTGGACCAGAAAAAAGCATCTACAGCATCAAAACTCTAAACATCCTCCAAACCCTGAAGCTGATCATGTGAAGACTGTTGAATTTTATATACAGTACATTTATGCAGTGTTTGTACAGTAAAACAGTAAAATTTTATGCATGCATTTTACTTATCTACATAACACTGTGGAACGAGATGATCTGTCTAATATATTTACAAAAATGTATCATTTGTATTTCTATTTCTTCAATAAAGGTGATTTTACTCCAGTGTCGGACTTGGAACAGTTGAAGTTTTAGTGACTTAATAGTAATATAATAGATTAACATAACATAGTTATGACATTTTTATAACATAGTTTAAAATAAAATTTACATTTTAAATGGCTTTGAAGAGGTTCACAGTAAAGCCAAATGGATTATGGATTAGTATAAATTAAAGCCTCTTCTGATGATGAAAGTGTATCAGTTTGCTGTTTAAGCTTTTTGGTGTCTGAAACGTCAGTGATTTTCCACTGACTGCACTTTTACACACATATGGTGTTTTATCAAATACCTGGGTTTTAAACACCTCAGAATCTCAGATCAGGTCTGTTTTCTATATGATCATCATTTACACTCATTCACTGTTCAACTTAATAGAAACACTTTCCTTACGCTTCCACACACTCTTTCCCTTTATTCCAGCTTCCATTCTTTTCAGGAGACTCACTTTCAGTTCCTCAAAGAATCTGCAGACACACCTCCAAAGTTCAGTCTTAGAAGCTGGTTGATCATTTTCTGAAGTAATCAAACACATTCAGTGGTGTTGAGGTCTGGACTCTGGGGTGGTCAGTCCATCGTTCCGCTTCTTTGTTTGATGTGTCCGTCTCCTTTTCTCAGTGAGGTTCTTCTTGAACAGCTACACATCCTTTCAGACCCATAGCGCTGAGTCGTCTTCTCACAGTGGAAGGATGGACAGAAACACCTGTGGATGTTTTCAGATCTGAAGCAGCTTGATTTTCTCCTGTATTCAGCATCTCTGTACTGAACTAAAAATATTACAAACATATATTTTATAGTTCCCAGAAATCAGTAGGACTCTAGAGAGTCCCAGGGGTTCCCCTCGACTGGTAGGTGACTTAGGCTCATGAGTTATCCTGAATATGACAAGATAAATTTATTACAAGTAAATTACAGTCAAATATGTTTATTACAACTAAATTCGTTTTCAGAAAGAGTCAAATCCATTTCAAGTAGAATGCATATAATGAAATACATCTAATGTTCTCCATCAATTAACACATATAATGTAATTGGTACAGGAGCCACTAATAACCATCAGTTCCATTGTTTGTTATTGATTCCTGCAACAAAAATGTTCATCTTCTGTAATTTAAATCTACTTCAACTTTTGAAACATTATTATTTTTGTCAAGCCAACTTAAAGTTAATTAGCAAACTTTCACTTTTTACTTACATAGTTATCATTTTTCTCTAATGTCTCTAGACATGATCACTTTTGAAATATGAGGCTTTCTAGATATTATTTTTATTAGAACTCTTAGTCTTTGAAGTCTCAGAAGAGACAAACAGTCGTGTCTGGAAATCAAACAGGTTTAACACACACTCATTTGTGGCTTTGGAGATGGACAGAAAACAACACCCTCCAAATATATCCACCTGAAAAGAGCTGAAAGGCAGCTAGCAGTGGCTGCAAAGCAGAGATTGGAGAGCTGAGGAAACAGGAGCTAAGATCAGGGAATATTATTATGAAGAGTAGCGTGCAGTGTACAGTATATACTAGTGCAGTATGCAGTATGTAGTATAGTAGTATGTCATTTCTGAACACAGCCAGAGTCTCTGGTCTCCTCGCTCACACAACATTACTACTTTTACTCCAGGGATTGCTGTCTCCCCTGGAAGGGGGTCTCTGGAGGAGGGTCTATTGGGGAGGGTCTCTGTAAGAAGGTCTATGGGTGGAGGGTCTCTGTAGGAAGGTCTATGGGTGGAGGGTCTCTGTTAAGGGTTGGAATGAGTCCCCCCTCCCTCTCGGCCTCACATATCCTCTCTGGTTCCATCGCTTCAGTAATGTTCTCTAGAGTCAACTCCGACTCTGCTAATTGTAACCAGGAAAGCACCTGAGCCGGTGATGAAGGGATGCAGCAGAGATTAAACCATCCTAAACATTTAATGAGGTTCAGATTATAGTGATATAATGAAAATGAAGCTTATTTCGCATAATAAGGCTGAGGGGGAAACTCAGAGTGATGCAGTGAGAAAATCATTACTGTAGTCTGGATTCTTCTAAAAGGAGCCAGGTGGATGTTCTCCTGTCCCTCTTTTACGAGGCTGAAGTTAGATTCGTATCCGCTGTTCATGTCCGTGATGCAGCTGTTCTGGTGTAACTGCAGCGCCATTTAAGGTGGAACGGAAATTTGAATAAGACGCAAACAAGTAAGGATCAAATCTCAGCTTCACCCTTTTTTCCACAGCGTTCTGTGTTTTATTTTTCGGTTTTTGCTCCGTGAATCGATTCTGCTCGTTGTTTGTAACCTTTATAACCCCGGAGAAAAAAGCTGCGGTGCAGGACGAATCGAAAACGTCCCTCGAGCGAGTTACGGTGAAAAAACACGAGGAGTCGACTCCAAGCATTTCGACTCTTAGAGTCCCTGGCAAAGAGGCGATCCCGACTTCCAGGCGTGGGGGAATCAAAGAATCGATTCTCTTGGAATCGACTCTCCATCACTACCCTTCAGTGTGATAAACAGGTCTTTACTGCCGACTAACGCGTTTACAGATGTGAGTTACTTGTCTTCTGTCTTTGCTCTGTTGATTGACTGTCGTATTAGTTCAACATATTGAACATATCTGTGTGTGTAGATGGTGAGAAACCGTTCCTGTGGGTAAATTTAGGCGGTTCTCTTGTGAACCGCGGACCTAACGGCTGTTTGTGACTCCCTACAGGAAGTTAAAGTGAGTTAGCTTAGCGGGGTAACAGTGTAAACACGATGACTCTTCTGTTCAAGAGCTTAAAATACATGTAGTTCACTGAGTGACTTTGTGTGATTCCTTAAGGTGGAGAGGGACAAAGACTGAGCTGAACTGATTCACACACTGGTAGTTATGACTGTCTGATTATCTGTAATGTTGGGAGAGAGTGTATAAGTCACTATCAGTTATATAACAGCAGATTATGACTCCTTACAGGTCTGGACTGTGGAGAGGAGCTCATACCAAGCTGAAAAGAAATCACTACAGTGGAAAAACGTGAAATGCAATGCACAAATTACGTTACTGTTCCATAGTGACGTGCAGAATATGTGTCAAAATGAAAAACAGAACCTCTATTACATTGTTTTCACATCTCTTTACCTCTTTACTGAATAACAGTGCATGAGGATGTGCATTTTTATAGTTAAATATATATGTACAAAATACAATCCACTTTAAAATGTTATAAAGGCACAACTATATTCCTTTCCACTATGCAGTACTTTAAGCAATATCAAATCAGTGTAATGGATCTTTTTCTACATGTTGCTGCTTAAATGCACGATGTCAAAGAAACTCCTCAGCTACATTAATGGGACAAAACAATACCTTTAAAAAGTAAGCAGATTTTCTTTGACTCTGGTGAAACAGCTCTAATGTTTCCTAACCAGACCTTTCAGCCATAATCTCGAAACACAGTGGTCACATCAAAAATAAAGTGGATAGTCTTCTGTTCAGTAGGCCTTCATGACCATGGCTGTGTTTGAAATAGCACACTGTTTACTGTACACTGCATGTTACTCCTCAGCAATAGTGTACTGTCCAGTATCCAGTGTACGACACAAGTCATGTGCTGTACTACAGGGAAGGGGCGTGGCTAGCCTGCCAGCATCAGGAATTGAGCCAATCAGACTGATCTTAAAACCTAGTCCATTTTCCTCAGCCCTCCAATCACTGCTTAGAAACTGTTGCTATTTGCTTTTCAGTGTGTACGTTTGTATTTTGGTCAAGATATGAGCCTCTGTGACTTTTAAAAGACACCCATACAATGACAGATGGCAGGACATTGTTTTCTACTCATCCCCAAAGCCACAAATAAACTTAAAAAATTCAGCTGTGGATTGTTCTGTGTGGTGACCCTGTGTCATTTTCAGACACACTGTGTTCAGCTGTTTGCGCTAAAGCGGCTAGCAATGGCTTCTAAGCAGTGATTGTAAAGCTGAGGAAACAGGAGTGAAGGTAAAGAAATACTACTATGAAGAGTAGTGTACAGTGTACAGTATATACTAGTGCAGTATGCAGTATGTAGTATAGTAGTATGTCATTTTGAACACAGCCAGAGTCTCTGGTCTCCTCGCTCACATAGGATTACTACTTTTACACCAGGGACACCTGTTTTCGCCTGTTTGTGAGTTTCATTTTCATTACATTCGTAGTTGGTAATATAAGCTGGTTTGACTGAATAAACCGTGTGACTCTGCATGCGAGCCTGAAAAGCTGGTGCTGAGCGGATTGTTTGGCTGAGACCAACTTTAAATTTATACTGATTACTAGGTTTGGGCTCAAGCAGTGCGCAGCATTGTGGTTTGGGTTATTTCAAACACAGCCTCTGTCACCATGACTGTCAGCCTTTCTGTCTATATGGATGTCAGTATATTTATCTGATTATCCTGATTGTTGATTTATCTTTCCATATAGAGAGTCTTCAGAAGGCATTCATGATTATGTACAGTTGTTAGCAAAACTTTGTGCACCCCGGTCCCATTCCAAGTTTTATTGATTTTTGAAGTGAAAATAAATGAACACATGCTCTTTAGAGAAATCAGTTCTGCACATTTTAATGCACAATTTACTTTGTAGTGTATATACATATATATGTATATGTTTATTAGGGGTGGGGGAAAAATCGATTCTTAGATGCATCACGATGCGGACATGAACGATTCTGAATCGATTCACAAATGCCAAAAATCGATTTTCAAAATTTTAATTTATTACGTAACGTTGACAGAACGCAAAGGGCAGAACTTGGAAGTGCGTAAGTGTAGCACCCAGATAGTCTGTGACGGCACATAACAAAAACACTACTGGTTGAGCGAGAAATCCGACCGGCAGCCTCTGCATTAAAGCCAAGTTAGGTCAGGAGTCACAACACAAATGATAAAAAGAGCCATTTTGTCCTTTCAACAAAAATCAAACCACCTTGGGAGCCACAACATTTAATGTCCAGTATGTCTCAGTGTGTGATAATTAGCCGCTTTCCTCCCGTCTCTGGCAGGAAACTTTTCCTCAGAAGTAGAACAGTTTCTTGTAAAATGTCTCTCAACTTTCGACTGATTTATGAGGCTGAAGTCGCTTCTCATTCACCAACTTATTGTTCGAATTTGCCCGTTCCACCAGGGCTTTCTCGCTATGTTGCACGTCCCGTCTCGAAGATATTTTACTGACACAGCGATCCCCCCCCATTCTGTACAACGAGACCAAAACCGAAGTTATAAAATCACTGAAGAAAACTGGCGGGACGGCTGTAACATCTGCTGCATGGACATCCATCACCACTGGATCTTATGTCACCATAACTGCGCATTTTATCACAGATGAGTGGCAGCAGCGTCTCATGTGCTCCAAACAAGAGCACTGAATGAGAGTCTTCCAGTTCTCTTGCCTCATCACTTCCATTTGATTTATTAATAAAAGATATTGGAAGTAAATTAATTATAGATCATTACAAATACTTTGCTTTAAAAGTAACAAGTCCTCAGATAGTAAGAAAAAAGAAATCCTGTATAGAAAAAAAAAGATGCATCGATAATTGTGTTATAATCGCATCGCAGCCTATACATACATACATACATATATATAATATTTTTATAGTTTATTTGCTAAATTTAACATTTTGGGGAAAAAATAAAACATTAATTGTGATCTGTGTAAAAGTTATGGCACATTTTATTTTAAGCAAATAAATAGAAACTGTGCACTAAAATATGCAGAAAAATGCCATATTTAAGTATATTTAAGAGTATTTTCTCTGTAGATTATGTGTTGACATATTTTCATTTAGAAAACCAAAGAAGAAAACCAAGTCATTTGAACCGCATACAATTGTACTTTTAGTGAAATGTGAGTAGTTATTAACCCCGGTAAATGTCAAAATGATTTATGTGTTATGCGTGACGTCACATGTGAAATATGTAAAGTATTTTCCCAGGGGGTTGATGTGTATAAAAATGTAAACATCAGTTATATGACGTCACATGTCAAAATTGCAACTAATTTTCCCAGGAGGTGATGTGTGTAAAAACTGTGAACAACTATTGTAGGTTGTAAAGAATTTTTTTTTTCCGGTGATAAAATGTTCAATTTTCCCCAGGGTGCGTGTTGGGAGGGGTGGCAAGCGTGAGCAAATTTTCCCCTCTTGAGAAGTGTTAATGAAAAACATCATGTGAATTTTGTGTAAAAGTTTAAAGGGGTGTGAAAAATAAAGAGTAAGGATGAAAAAAAAAAAAGATGCGAGGACTTACCGTCGGTGGGGTGTGGTGGGGTGGGGTGGGATGGGGTGGTTGGGTCGGGTATGGTGTGTGTGTGTGTGTGTGTGTGTGTGTGTGTGTGAATGCTTTTTGATAACTACCCGAGGTTTGCCCGGTATGATGCGTGGGAATAATTTTCAAAAGATTCCCAGGATGTGTTTTGGAAAAAAAGATGTGTTTTGGAAAAAAAGATTCCCAGGATGTAATGGTATGACGTAGTTGTTGTTGTTGTGTTTTTGAGTGACAGCAGCAAGTGGGGGGCCCCCGTTCTGCTAAGCGTGACTAATAATTGAACAGGTGTCGTGGTGTTTTTCTCCTCACAATACTATAAAAACTGGCCGAGAGCCATAATAGTTGTAAAAGTTACTCATTATGGACCAGTTTGCGAGCAATTACAATACCCCTGCTGGGGGTGAAGCTGAGGTGATAAACTTATCGACCGACTCCGAGTACGAGTCTGACACCGAATCTGCGAGAAGTACGATGGTTCTCACAGATTCTGACGAATCATCCACAGCGGAGGATGGTGTTGTTCGCAACACCCCAGAAAAGGACGCGCCAAACTCAGCTGTCGTTCAGGAAAGACCCAGCGTGATCGTGTGGCGATCTTTCAGCGGCACAGGTTCAGACGAATCACTCAGAGCGGGGGCGGTGGATGAAGTTATTTGTATCACCCCTGAAAAAGATGCGACAAACTCGGCGGCGGTTCAAGAAAGACCCAGCGTGATCGTTTGCAACGTCACCAACTGTGTCAACTGTATCACCGCCACGGTCCGCTTGCCGCCGCGACCGGACCAGGAGGAGGAGGAGGAGGAGGAGGAGGAGGAGGAAGAGATTCCGGGGGTTTGTCAGCCACGACCCGGCGACCGTGTTTGCAACACGCCGAAAGTCGGTGCCAACACAGGTGACGGACCGTCGATCGCAGATTACAGCCCGGTCTCCGATTACGAGGAGCGAGTTGATGAGTCGAGAGTTTCTGCTAATTTGACATCAACGATGAGATCTGTTTTATTTAACGACAACGCTGTATCTTTTTTTGATGACAGGATACAGAACGACGAATTTGACCATGTTGCGACAAACGGAGGTGTAAACTTTCTAAACGTCGAAGATCCGGTCGATTTGTTTGAACTTGAAACTTTAGTGGACAGAACTTTTCGCTGCGACTTCATTCAATAGAATGAGTGTCGCTCAGCAAAACGATACAGGAATATTGACCGAAGCTGAGGATGGATTACCGTCGCAGAACGAATGGGATTTATCGGATTTTACCTCAGACGCTGACGATGGAGCGAATCAGGATGTTTTTATGCAGCATATCAACGCATCGACTTTGGGGGAGTTACCACCGCAGAGCGAAGGACACGCGTCACACGTTAACGATGGAGCAAATGGGAGCGCTTCGACGGGGTGTGAACGGAGGTGTCAGGCGGCAGACCCTGAAATTCACGCAGAAGACCTTTCGATCAGCAGGCCCTCCACAAGCGGGGAGGGGGATGGGGTGAGGGAGAGACACAGACCCATGTTTAATCACAGTGAATACAATTATCAAATAAATTTATCGGATCTAGGTACAGGTTTGAATTTAATTCAGTT